CGTCTATGTGGTACTTACGGTCGTTTGGTTTGAGAGAGTTTTTAAAGAGAGATTGGGAGGTTAGAGAGATGAGACTATCAATTGTTCCGTTTGGTTAGAAAACATGGGAGTTTTGGTCGAATGAGAATGGAGACTTAAGGGAGGAACTCCCTCGTTTTCAATACTTGGGTAGGGGTGTAATTGGAAGGGAATTTCTCATTTAATTTGCCTAAACAAATCTGAATCATCCATTTTCATTTGAGATCTAATCTCGAACTAAACTCCTTATCAATTCCCACCATTTCTACCAAACAAGAGATTGGAACTAAAAATAAAATCCTCACGTTAATCTCACCATCAATTCCCTACTCTAAACTCTCTTCCTCTTCCCTCGAGTTGTCAAACAAGCCGTTTTCACTTAGAAAAAGAAATGAAAAAGTACGAATTACCCCCCTGAACTATCGCGATCGTCTGAATTACCCCCCTGAACCTGAAAACCAGGTATCACTCACCCTGAACTTCTTAACCGGACGAATTACCCCCCTCGACCGAATCTAGAGTAGTTTCGTCCTACGTGGCGTACACGTGGCAATCCAGTCATCATTTTCTTTTAAAATAATGGTGGGACCCACATGCCATACCTTCTTTTCCCCAATTCCTCCCTCTCCTCTTCCCCAATTCCTCTCTCTCCTCTCTCTATCGGGCGCAACAGGCATGCACGGTAGAGGCGGACCGGCCGGTGGCGGAGCTCGCCTAGGCGGTGGGCGGCCAGTGGGAGCAAGCGGTCGGCGGCGGAGACGGAAGTTCGCCGGGCGTCTGGCGGCTAGTGGCGGAGCGGGCGGTCAGCGGCGACGGCGGCGCCTGAGGCCGAGCATGCCCAAGCGGCAGGGTGCGGAGGCGGAGGCCAGTGGTGGACTGGGCTGCCGGGACGGAGGCGGAGCTCGCCTCGGCGACCGATGGCAGAGGCGGATTGAGAGCAGCGCCACGCGCCGCGGAGGCGAGGCGACGGCGGAGGAGGCGAGGCGAGCGCGGCGGCGAGGCGGAGGCGGAGGAGGCAAGGCGGCGGCGAGGCGAGCATGGCGGCGGAGGAGGCGAGCGCGAGCGCAGGTGAGCGGCACGGGTGGTCGGCGAGCGGGGGCAGGCGGTGATCGGCGGCGTGGGACGTGAAGGCTGGACATCGGCCACTTTCCCCATTCAAAGCCTCGTCGCCGGCCGCCGCCCTCACCTCGAACCCCGCCTCCTCCAGCTAGTCGTCGCCGCCGTTGCCCTCACCATCCTCCTCGGCGCAGCCCACCGGCCGCCGCCCTCCCCACGAGCGCTGCCGCGCGCCGCCTCGAGTATCCTCCTCGGCACAGCCCGTCGCCTCCACCGTTCTCCTCGGCTCGGCCCACCGGCCGTCGTGCCCTCCCCGCCACACCGTCGTCCACCACTGTCCTCGCCACACCGAGAGAGAGAGAGAGAAGGATGGGAGAGAGAGAGACAGGGGGTGAGGTGGGAGAGAAGCTGATAGGTGGGTCCCACCGATTATTTTTTAAAAAAAAATGCTGACTAGACTGCCACATGTACACCATGTGGGACGAAAACCACTTCAGATACAGTCAGGGAGGTAATTCGTCCGGTATAAGAAGTTCAAGGTGAGTGGTACATGGTTTTCGGGTTAGGGGGGTAATTCGGACGACCGCGATAGTTCAGGGGGATAATTCGTACTTTTAGGGTCTCATGTATAATACCCCACTGTCATATTGGGCCGCCCCAAGTGAATTGGGCTAGAAGCCTGGAAGGGATATGGGCCTCAACGATTGACTATCTCTGTATGGGCCGTCAGTGGGCCTGGTTTGGAATATATATCTGCGGCCCACTTGGGGCTATATCATTTTTTTGTCATTATTAATGTCACAATCACACGAGAGAGATTAACCGGGATGCTACGTGCGAGCATGTCCAAGCAGTCAAATTCAGAAAAATGAAATGGGAGACTACAACTGCCTATATTATATAGGTGGCTTATTAGATATATGGTGAGATTTGTGGGTGACCAGACCCAACCCAACTAACCTAAAACCACTCTTACAAGCAAAGTGCTGGTTGGTGACTAACAACTACTGCTAACAAGCAATCAATCAAGTTTCACGAGCATCTTATTTGTATTTGCAGAATTGTTGTTTAGTTCTCAGCCGTTTCTACTGTCTCGGATCATTTTAGTAGTTGATAAGAATGACAAGTATGCTGGAAAATGTGAGGGCCCCTTTGATTTGGAGGAAAAACATAAGAATTTTAGAGGATTTTAATTCTATAGGAAAATTTCCTATGAAACCCTTTGAAACGGGTAAATTAGAACCATGCCCTTATAATTTTGCAAAGTTTGAGATATGCCATCGGTATCTCAATGACATGTAGCACCCACATGAGTCAATGACATGTGGGTCAGGATGACATATCTCAAATTTTGCAAAATTATAATGGCATGGTTCCATTTTTCCCTTGAAACAATGGATCAATCCTTTGAAATTCCTATGGAATGGATAATCCTAAAGAGATTTTAGAGGAAATTTAGCAAGAGCTTCAACCTCTTGCTAACTTTCCTTCGAGTCTATCTCTCTCATCTAATTCCTGTGTTTTTTCCTGTGTTTCAATCAAATGGTCATTCCTGTGTTTTTCCTGTGTTTTGCAATCCTCTGTTTTACACTTACATTACTATCAAAATCCTACATTTTTCCTATTTCTACGTTTTCTTAACCCTGTGATTCAAAGGATCCCTAAGAGATATGGGAATTAATTACTGTGGAGCAGTTTCCTTTTACAAATATTCTATTTCAAGGAATGGAACGTTGGGTCAAATATGCACGCTTCCCGAGCACTTAAACATATCACAATTTTGTACAAATTTTATTAATGTGAATTTCTTATAATTCTATTTTTTACGTACCTTTATAATATTTAATTCCTTCATTTGTAGCCTTGAATAATTATCATAAATTATTTAACCACTTAGTCTCTCCTCACAAATTACATGGCCGTACATTATAACGGTATCATGAGATGTTTTTTAAGGATGGATTTTACCAGGTTTTTTAGTTTTCAAAGAGAGGGGGTGGTTTTTCGATCTAAGGGAGAGGAAGAAGAATGACTGCGCTTGTTTTTTAACTGGTTTTTAGGAAGTATTTTCTTAGAGAAAGAAGGAGAGAACTATTACGCTTTTAAAATGGTTAAGAAAAATGCTGAGTTGAAGCGTATATTTGACTTTGACCGTTGGATATGGAGTTCTTCTTGGACGACGAGGGCATGATGCTGCGTCCAACGACTCCATGCACTCATGGCTTGTCGTTGTTGGGTCATGGCATGCGTTGATGCGTAGAATTCTTTCACAGGTCAGAATCTTCTCCGGTTTAATTTGGTCCCTTTTACAAATGGCAAAAATGGACCAAGTATGATTAAGCGTCCTTGCCACGTTTCCTTTCCAAAAGCCAGCATTTTCAGCCTCCAACTGGGGATCTTCTCTGCAAGTAGTTCTGTGATGGGGCGGTGGTGTTTGAATCTCCTGAAGATAAAGATTAAGTGTTTCACGTAAAACGAGATAGTAATAACGTTAATTAATTGAGTTTTAAATATTACAAACTTACAAAATAGATTAATCTGATATTTTAGAACAACTTTCATATAGAAAGTTTTCGCACGAAACGCAATGTTTAGTAGTTTGAAAAATGTGCAACTTTAATCCAAAATTTAATCCACACTTTTCAAGACTAACGAACAGGGTAACCACAGCTTCTGAATTTCTGAGGTACTCGTACTCTTGTGGATCCATCGAGGGACGAGGTTTATACTATGAGTGTCATATAATTTGTCATCATAATCTGTGTTTGATAATTTAGACGAACTCGTATATTAGTGAGAAAGAATGGTACCCTCCAACATGCTGATGAATTATCAAATGTACTTGATCAATCGGTCACCAACTCACCATAATTGTTTTTTTGAGACCAAGTTAACTTCGTTGAAACAGTAATGAGTGATGGAGTAAGAAAACGATCAAACATGGAGCATACATGAAAATTTAATGGCACATATGTATATCAAATAAGTTAGTACCATCATTCATTACTGTAGATATGTTGTACAACATTAAATGTTGTTGGAAGGAATGAGGGAGTGCATATCAGAGTGTACAATATTTGCATTTAATTGAATGTTTTAATAAGATATCTGTGGGTAGGCAATAATATAGCTATATCTTTTACATTGAAACACATATAAGAGTTGACTTGGGGTGGTGCTTAGTATGTCATGATATACCAGCACATTCAATTAATTGGTATGGCAGGATGAACAGAGTGAGGTAAAAAAAAACTAGAATTCAACCACACATAACATGATAACATAGCATCCCTCTTTACATTAAAACGGGGAAGACAATGGTTCCTAGGTAGGCCTAAAATCCCCATTAAAATAAAAATGCCATCAAAACACATAGATGTCAAGAACTCGTTACATTGCTCTATGTGTGAAATTTATTTACGTCGTACCTAGCAAATATTAAACCATAATTCAATCTTACAATGGCGTCATCTCTTTATTATTATATATTATTATAGAATAGTATCTAAAAGTAGAGATTAGGGGAAAAAAGCCACATAAACAAAGTTTATTTATCCTAGTCGTAGCAAAGTCAAAGCATACGGTAAGCTGCCACCGTGAGCCGGTTTCCTCCGTTGAACGGACACACAACACGCGGGGCCACAGAAGCATCGGAAGAAAAAAAAAAGAAACAACCAACCAGCGCCTTACCCACACGCCAAGTAGTACGCCACAATCCCGTGGGCCCCACCTGCATCCCCCTATCCCTGACCCCACCAGATCATACTCAGATATATACTCCCGTGGACGCCACCCCCAACGGCAACGGCAAAGTGCGCGAGGTGGGCCCCACCAGGTGCGACCCGAGGGAGGCCTGAGGACCGGACACCGACCGAGTCGAAGCGAACGACTCGGCTCGGCGAAACTCAACTCCGACCCGGTCGCGTCTTCCAAATTTCTTCCTCCGCCTCCGCGAGTCATCGTCTCTCCAAAGCGAAGCAACCGCTTCCTTCCACCCTTCCTCCATTTCTCCCTTCCCCGCCTCGCCTCCGCTTCGCTTCCTCCTCTTCTCCGGGCGGATCCCGCTGCCGGTGAGGCAAGCCGCATTCCGGTCCGGCGAGATGTTGGGGGAGCTCCTCTCCAGGATCCTGCTGTGAGTCGCACTCTCTGCCTCTCTCTCTCTCTCTCTCTCTCGATTCATGGTTCTTCCTGGCCATCTATCAATGGGCGAACGGGTGTGTGGTGGTTTTCCTCTTGTTCGTCTTCGTTGCGTGTGGTTTGCTGATTCCGTGCTCCGTTTTTTTTTTTGGTTGGGTTTTTGGTTTGGGATTCGTCGGTGGTGGTGCAGGCTGCTGTTCGGGTACGCGATGCCGGCGTTCGAGTGCTTCAAGACGGTGGAGGCGCGCCCCAACGACGCCCACATGCTCCGCTTCTGGTGCCAGTACTGGTAAACCCCTTCTCCATCCTCGATCTCCTCCTCTCGCTTCTGTTACTACTGCTTTTTTTTTCTCTGATGGGTTCACCTTTCAATCGCGCTGTGAATAGCTTTAGTCTTTCTTTTTTTTAACCCTTTTGATGTGGAGTGAGATGCAAACTTGGATAGCATGATTTTCTGTGATATACCATCATGTCAACTTTAATCCCTTCTTACCTTTAGCCTTTTGCTTCGTAAGATGGATGGTATTTTTATGTGTATCTTAGCTAAAAGTTCATGCGCAATGATATACTCCGCCAACTTTTCTGTTTCCTGCAGTCTCTTCCCTTTAGTTTTTTTCTCTAAATGTTAGTAGATGTGTTTAGTTATTTTGTGTTCTCTTAATAATTGGATGTTAGGTGAATGATGGTATGACCATAATGCCATGTACATATAGTTTAGTATCAATCAAGAGGGGCTTTCTAATTCCTCTTTAACTTTTATAATTTTGATGGATTAGATTGGCAGTTCTATGCTTTTTTTTTCCACGGAAAATTGGAAGTTGTTTTCGTTCCATTTCCAGTTCGTTGGCTTCTATCTTAGAAGAGGCAATGAAACTGCGTATATTAGTATTTGTTGATATGCTTATCCTGAATCAATGCTCTGGATTGGCATGGAATGAGATATTCTGATTCATTTTCCTCTGCATGATATGAAGACCTGCAGTCAAATTGAGTTCGCTCTGCAATTTTGCACCATTAAGTTAATTTCAAGAAAAATAGGATGTCCATGGACCATCTATATATAATTGTAGACATAGACAATTGGTTGCTAGTGAGGGCGGGAAAGAAATTCCAACATTATTGCTACAAGTTTGAACTGACTCACATCATTTCTGATTTTAGCAATTAGTTATTGTTATCCTGGTTTAATTTGCTTGTTTCCGTTTGAACTGTTTTATTTTTTCACCAAAGTTTGTTTATTGCCATTCCAATTGGAGAAGAATATTCCAAGTCCCTTTTGCACCACATTCCCTTTGGAACATTTTAGGCTTTCAGGTTTCAGCCATTCAAGTCTAGAACTATCCAAAATTGTAGGGCTGGACATTTTATGCATTCTGTTGAAAGGATTATTGGCCTCAGAAGCATAAATATGTTTATTTTTAACCTAGACCTACTGTCCTGTTCCCTATCATTGTAGTGAAGAAAGCAGGTATCTTACTAATGACTCTGATTGATTATTCATCAACTTATTGAATCTGATTCTCAACAGAATCAGTAGTCACTACTTTACGTCTTTACCATATAGCATAATATATAAGAGTATTAGGAAATTCCTTCATTGAGCACCTTCTTTAATAATTAATTGACCCTAAACCTTATGGAATTTTGATAAGAAATGAAGTATTTCTGACACCTTAGCCTGAAAGTTTTAAATTCCAGAACTGAATGATGGTCCATGTCTCCACTCCAATTGATAGTTTTTAGTAGTAATAATGCATCAGTTGGACATGAAAACTTAAATATTTCTAAGGTTTCTTGCTAATTTAGTTTGGTTGTTGCTAGTCCCTTGATCCCTTCCTTATGTTCCTAAAAGAAACTGTCGCTGGTATTCAAGCATTTTATATTGTTTCTCGTCATTCATCTGTTATTTCAATCCACCTGCATGTTTGCACTTCAGATATATGTGTTGAAGAAATGTTTTAGGATTATGTGTGTACAATACAAACACCTCGTCTGTTAGTTTTATAGATGTTACTAAACTTGAAACAGGGTTCTTTGTTCTTGTTTTTTATACTTGGGATGTATGCTAGTAGTGATTACTAGTTGAATGGTCACATCTCATTTTCTGCGACAAATTTTTGGTTCATCAAATCCCTTGGCTTATTTAACAATGTCAATATGGTTGAGCACCTAGTTATTCTTTTTGCTGTTGCTGACATAAGATGATTGATTTTTTTGTAAAACAGACGCATTATTACTCATATGCTATTTTACCTATATGATCCAAGAAATAAGCATGCCTGGTCTATTTCAACGACTGACTAAAATATGGAAGGTTCTGATATGCAATTGTATTCATTTTATTCTGCTGAATTGACTGATCTGTAGACCAATTCAAAGTGTACCATTGACTTCAATCCCTCTGTGGAAAAGTCGTTTATTGCAATATTTTTTATGTGATTACCTAACACATGTTTGAGGCTCTCTCCTTACCATAAAGAAATATACAAACAGAATAAGAAGGCCCCTTTCGATTGCAGACTAATGTTCAGAACACAGAGAGAGAGTTATTGATATGCACATGAGAATATGCTATGCCTGGCTAATTTTGAGTTTTCTTGTGCCCCCATTTGACTATTATTGTTTTGTTAAGAGTTGACTCAGTAGGTATCTTTTTTATTTTTTGAAAACTAACTCAGTAGGTATCAGTAATTAGTTTTCTTGTGCCTCCATTTGACTTTCAGTACTAGCCAATGGTTTATTAGTTCTTACATTCTATTTGTTGGAATAGCATGGCTTTCCATAAAATGTTTGCATGAAACATTTAATTCAAGAGGTTGTTGGAGATTGTAGTCAACTATGTTTATAACATATCTGTAGATCCTATTCTGGTTTGGGATAGAGAAGGCATCATTGGCATGTGATATTACAACAAAACTTGATATGGGTGATTTCTTTCATGATATTTTAGTGTGGTGATAGGTAATGATACTCATCGATGTTTTTACCCAGGAGCATGGGTGGCGATCTAGTCTACGGATTGATAGTCACTAATATCTATGTTTCGTGATGGGGGTTTAGTTTTGTTCTTTTATTGGCTGTGTGCATTTTATGCAGAGGCCGGGGGTGAGCTCAGTTGAAATGTATCATCTTGGTGTATTTGACTGAGTCTTAATAAAGCTTCTATTATCTAAAAAAATGATACTCATCGCATGCTAAATTGGCAAGGGTATATATACCGCAACATTTTCAGAGAAAATATCTTGTCGAGTTTCAATTTTTCGTTTGCTTGAATGGCATTTTAGTAAATGCAGTGGTACAGCAAAGAAGAGACTTTAAACATTCACTGACCAGTTGCGCTTTGGGCATCAAACAGAAGTTGACAGAGTGCTTAAGTTTCCAGTACTGAACTAAACAGTTAAAAGTTGCGCTAACATAGTAGATTGACCACTACGTCTTTCTACCTTTTTTTTTGTGTGGAATTCATGGGGTTGTGAGGGTTGTTAGGTTATGTACCACATCAGCATACAGGGTTAATACTGCTAGTTTTCAGCTCTATGAACAAGAATTTGTTTACTTTAAATTTGTTTGAGGTTCAAGTATCCAATAGGCTAACAGTTAATGTCTTGTCTGTGAATGTTGGCAGGATTATTGTGGCCATGGTAATAGCCTTTGAGAGCCTCATCTCATGGTTAGTTCAGTTCTCCTCTGATTTTATTTTTTTTAAAAAAAACTTCCTGTGTTATAGATTTCTTGCTTATGCATGTGTACTATTATATGCATTCCAGGATGCCAATGTATGGAGAAATTAAGCTAGCTTTCTTTGTTTACCTGTGGTATCCCAAAACAAAGGTAACAAAGTACACTGTTTCTGAGCTTTGATATCTCTTTAAATCCCGTTGTGCATTCACTTTTCGATCAAAAATCCACATGTACATTTTCGTCAGTAACACCCGTCTGAATTTAAATGCTTCTGCAGGGAAGTGATGTTGTATATGATACCTTCCTTCGGCCCATTGTAATGCAATATGAACCAAACATAGAACAGAGGTTACTGCATCTGAGGGCGAAATCTGGGCAGCTACTTAGCTTCTACATGAAGAACTTTGCCGACAAGGGGACAGCTTTCTTCATGGATGTCCTGCGCTATGTTGTCTCTGATAAACCTGAGGGATCCAATCAAGAGGTAATGCCATTTTTACCTGTCAACATAGCATGCACTTAAATGACACATTTTCATCTTTTCAGGCTTTTATCCTCCATTTTTTTTTTCTGCATGAGCTAGTTCTGTTACATAAGTTTAGAAAACCTTATTTCCTCCTTTTAGCTAAGTTTTTATGAGTTCATGGATTTGGTTATACTGAAAAAACTTTTAACATGCATTTTCTCATGTAAATCAGTCTATTCTTAATGTATGTTCATCTCCTGTCCATAACACAACATAAAGTACCTGTGAATAGGATAATATTTATTCTAAAAGAATTTTTTATGCACAAAGCACTGGTTGATTTCTTCTTGGTCAAATTTTAATTTAAAAAATACTGAGACTTATTTTAATATCAGATGTCAGCATCAGATATTACCAGAAAGTCCAGACTTAGTATATGCTGTCAGGAACTGAATAGGTCGTTTTTTACTTTCTATTGAATCAGGCATTCTGTATCTTTCATAACCAAAGTAACACAATTGAAGAACTACTTTTATTTACTACCAGAAATTAATACTCTTAACATCAGAAAAGTGTTTTTGTTTACCATATGGTTTGTCTCAAAAGGACTACAAATTATTCGAAGTTGCTTTCTTACTCTTAAGAACATAGCTATGCACTCCGGTGATCAGAATCCTCAAAATACAATTAGTCAGCAAACTCTTCTTTTCCATAAACCATGACACCAACTGTTCTCACATTTCTTCAGCCAATCTCATCTTTTCCATAAACCATGATACCAGCTGCTCTTCCCTTCTGGAGAAACTTCACCATGCGCCAAAACAAAGTGTTACCATTTATGGTGGTCTCCTCCAACCCTCTGCAAAAACCACTCCTCCCCCTTTGTTTCCCTCTCATTGCCCCCACAGTGACAAGCAGACAGGAGCATTATCCAATCCGTCCATCCATTCATATGCCAGGGACCTGTTCCTTCTTCCCAAATCCCAATCCCAATTTAAGTTCATGGCTCGCCCGTGCGGCCCCTGCCCTTGTCAGCACTCGCTGCTTTCGCTCAATTGGGCCTTACCAGGACAGTGATGCTCAACCAGCTGCTGCAGCCTGCAGTGTTGTAGGGAAGAAAAACCACCCCGCAGGAAACGTGGGGTAATGTCTGCTCAAGAGCCAAAGGGCCAACCATGCAAATGCACTCATTCCCTTCCACATAACCAAAACTTGTCTGATTTCTGTCATGTTACAACACCTGCCTTGCAAATGTTGCTATCTCCTGTTTTGCATGGATGTTCCATTCATTCTTAATACTCCCTCCGTACTAAATATAAGCATTTTTAGCTATAAATCTGGACAACCATGTGTCCGGATTTGTAACTAAAAGTTGCTATATTTTAGGACGGATGTAGTAGTATGTTCTATCAAACCAGGACTCCACTATTCCAATGCCCTGAACCCCTTGAGTGCAAACTATAGAAGCCAACATTCAGTAACATATATTCCTAGTAAACATATGGGATATTTTAGGGGACAATTTCTACCTGATGACCCACAAGTAAGTAAAATCTAGAATTTAGATAAAGTGAGTCAACTAATACTTATGGGTCGGCCTGGGTCTATCCCTACCTATTCTTTTTTCAAGAGAGAATACGTGAGGAATTAATATTACACTAATAACTAATCAGCACATGCCATGTCAAATTGGTCGCGGGTGACAATTGGTGGTTGTGTGCCTGTATGATCTTACGATGGTCCTGTATATAAAAAGCTCAAGTCGAGCTCCGACAAAGCTGCATCAACACAAACCAACGTGTCCACCATACGGACATGTGCTTCCCCACATGTGCACGAATCACAACGAATGAAAAAATGAGATGCACACTGGAGTCTGGAGACGATCTGAAACACAAGCAGTATAACATACATTGACAATGGTTCTGATCCCTCTCTGTTTCCATATGCAGCAGCGCAACAAGAAGTCCGGCGGCTGGAGCCCCTTCGCGACCAAACGCCGGCCACCGTCGCCGCCGCGGCCGCCGCAGGAGTCCCTCTTCGAGAGCAACCCCGAAGCCGCCGCCGTCGCCGAAGTTCTCAAGGCAACCATCAACCCCAGGCCCCGGCGAGGAGCGCAGAATGGCAAGAATTACTATTAGAGAAGAAGATCCAGCGACTCTTACAAACAGTTTTAGAAGATGATGATGATGATTGCTGTACATAGAATGATTCATCAAAGAAAAAAAAGAGAGAGAGAAGAGATTGAGATTGGGTACATAGAAAAATTCAGCAGTATATCCAATGTGAAATGAAACAGATGTGTCCATGATGAAAGCATGTTGTATATGCTTTGGTGATAGAAATTAAATCGTTTCTCTTTATTTTTTCCCCAATCATTTTAACCTTTTCTTCTCCTACTTCTTCACATGCTTGGTGTTCTCATATCCTTGACATTATTGGATCAATCATGAGCTCATCACTCAAAAAAAAAGAGAGAAAAAAAATCAAGAAATATTAAGTTGAGCTCAGGCTAACTAATCTGCTTCTGTTACCATGCAATCAAACATCTCTCTTTGTTGCTATCATCTCCTCCTCTTTGAGACTAATCCTAGCAAGTTATTTACAAAAATTCCAACGCAAGCAAATCCTCTAAAGTTTGTAATTAAGAAAGAAAAATAGTCTAATCACACATAGACTAGAAAATGAGAGAAGAATGGGAGAGGAATAATCAAGTGTGCGATTAGCAAGTAACCGCACGGCTCGCCGTCGATCGATCATGCATGTCGCCGGAGGCGGAGGGGGAGAAGTCGTCGTCGATCATGGCCGGAAGAGCGCGCCGATGAAGCTGAGGCAGCCGAGGAGGAGGCGGCAGAGCGGGCCGCGCCAGCGCCGGCGGTGGCGGCGCCCGGGGTCGTCCCTCGCCGACGGCGTCATCTGCAGGTAGGCGTACGCCGCGTGCTTCACCAGCGGGTGGCGTATCATGTGTATGTCGCCGCAGCTGCCGCCGCCTCCGCCGCCGCCGCACGCCGCGGGCGAGCACGACGCCGCGTACCCCGGCGACATCAGGATGTCCCGGAGGCTCGTGTACCCTCCTCCCCTCCCCGCCGCCTCTCCTCCGCCGCAGGGGATCTCGATCTCCGGCGGCGCCCACGGCGGCGCCGCCGATGAACGCGCCCGCTTCGGCGGCGTGCGCCAGTGCCGCAGCTCGAAGTCACCCGCCGCGCCGCCGTTCGCCAGCGGCGACCGCACACGCCGGAACTTCCTCGGCGGGGAGGGAGACGACGACGGCGACGACGACTCCGTCATCCCGGTGGCGGCGGCGGCGGCGGCAGCTGGCATCGCGAGGAGAGAGAAACCACGACGACCTGGGAATTAAACTACTAGAGGAGAGAGAGAAGAGACTTCGCTGAGAGAGTGTACTATATAACGTCTCCAAAAAAATTCGGGAAAATCACCCCGGGCCCACATGTCGGTGACCGAGAGGAAATAATTTTGGGTGGATTTTAATGTGAGAATATAATAAATTTGGGGGGAAGCGAGTGCACCCGAAACGGCTTGTCAGATGGATGGGTGGTGGAGGTGGGCCCCGGGGGCAATAATTGGGGGCGTCCACGTCATCAACGCCACGGCTGCCTTAAAAACAAGGTGTTTCTCCGCTGGTTTTTTGCTGTGAAAGCTTTGGTTTCTTCCGCTTAATTGCACAGCCAGTGAGAATTTCCAGCTGTCATTTGTACTATCTTGATTATTATGCTAGATAATCTGTTCTTAAGTGACATATGACAAATATACCAGCTCTCTGTTCATAAATGAAAAGGATCTGACAGATTATGTACCTAGACAATACTTATCCGGATGCATAGGTCGGATCTAGCGGGCAACGGTATCCATTGTCTGATAACTCGCATTGTCCGATGACTAGTAACACGGGATATCTAATAGAATTTAAGTGCTTTTTTTTCATGAACTGTAAACAAACTTTTATAGCAAATAGTTAATATAATAGGATTTGCCCATGGTTTAAAACTTTCCTAGATTCACATTGCTCGGGTCCCTTGTATACTTATATTCACTAAGAGGAAGAAAATGTGAATTTTGTAAAATATTCACTGAGAGAATATGTTTATTTCGTTTGTACTATAAGATCACTAATGGTGTAGTACACTTCTTTTTTAAAAAAAAGGAAAAGATTTGCCGCTTTTATATTGATACAGAAGGAGTAAAACATGACAAAGAATATTTACATGGTCCAGGGAGAAACCGCCAGGCGGACCCAGAAAAGGAAAATAGGGGAGACTACTCTCCTGAAGGTATGAGCTCTGTTAGCTGCACCGCTCCCGCCTTGATCCAATGGTGTAGTACATGGTTCATATGTTGCAAGAAGGAAATGTATGGGTAAGATTGTAAATATACTACCTCCGTTCATAAATAAAGATGCAAGATATATGTACTCAAACTTGGATAAGTACTCGTCTAGATACATAGCCTAGATACATTACATTCATTAAGAAAAAAGAGAACGCTTATTTTGTAACATATTCATCGAGAGAAAATGTTTATTTCCGGCTATTGTTTTTACTATAGGATCATTAATGGTGTAGTGCATGTTTCATATGTTCCAATAAGGAAAATGCGGGGGAACATATGAAAAATAACACTCTCTTCGGCCGAAATTATCTATCTTTTTCAACAACAAAAAAGAACTAGGTGGAAATCATTTGCATGGTCTGAAACGACAAGTATTTCCGTCCGAAGCGAGTAATGCTAATAGAGTGTGTGGTCAGTTTCTTCATTTTGTTTCTCTTGTAAAAGTATTCATTTCTTTACAATACAGGGAGAAAAGGTATGGCCACTTTCTTTGCAAGGGACAAATTGCAACTGAATAGATATATATGTGGCCTGTGTGGCATAAAGCATTGCTGGCTACTAACTGAAACAACACTTGTCATAGCAAATGATGTTACAACCTTTTCTTCTTTTTCCTCTCATTTGTTTTTGAGTGTGTGTCGTGTGCATGTATACTGACTGTTTTTTTTAAAAAAGAAGGCAAAAGTTTTGCCTTGTATATATTAATAGAGCAGGAGAAAAATAAAGCGAGATATATACAGGGTTAGCCAAAAAAAAAGCAATAACCCGCAAAATAGAAGAACAAAAAGGCAGGTATTAAGTGATATCTCCCAAAATTCTAAACTCCTGTAGAATTGCAGCCCCTGCTTTGACCCAGGCTCTTTCTTTCTCCTTGATCTTTGCTAAAATTAAAGACGGCGCAGATGCATTGTTGCGGAATATTCTTGTGTTTCATTCGCACCAGATTTCCTACGAGATTAAAATCACCAGGGTCCTGAGGGGCCTGCGCGGGGTGCTTGGGGACTCCACTACGAGGGTCCACCACTGTTCGATTAAGTGACAGTTTTCCCAACTGTCCATCTGGAGGTCAGTCCTGGTCCATCTCTGGATTTCTACCCATATCCTCTTTGTGAGTCTACATTTGGCCAGGAGCTGTAAGATCGATTGGTCAACAGTGTAGCAAAGTGGGCAAATCTTTTGGTTTTGCCATCCTCTTTTTTCCAGCCTGTCTGTCATCCATACTTTATTTTGCGTGACCGTCCATACCAACTGTTTTGTGAATACCACAATAAGAAAAGTGTAGCCACAAGCGAGTATTTAGTATTAACAATACACCAGGACACAAGAATGAAATTGAGGGGAATTCTACACGTGAATAACATAAAAACAAATCGAAGAGTCAACCTCAGTGTTGTGTATCGCGCGTCGAAAAAAAAACGTCGTAAAGAATAATTCAAATACATATATTTCTAGCTATCACCAACCGTCCTCGAGAAATCGAATGGCCATGATCGAGACAAGTGGCGCGCCAGACGCGGTGTCACGTGGGTAATGAGAAATTGTGGTCGGAATGGAGATGTGGCCCTAATTTAATTCAGCAGAATTTTTGCTCATGGACTCACAATCTCACATCACAACGTCAACTTTTTCTTGTTCGTGTTCACTCATGTAGGCCCTGGGAATGGGACCCAGTCAGCATCAATCCAACTCAGCATTCCACATTGGAATCTTAGCTAGTTGCCTCCTAATGATGTAAATACTTTCAACTAGATAGTTAGATAAGGCTTAAGCACTCAAAAAGTAGTAAATGTGCAAGAAACTACTATTAACTCCTTTGGAATTGGACATCTACTAGGATTAGTTGGGTCAAGTGATGCAAATTGCATAAATTCCCCCCTATCGGGACAAGTAGGATTCACTTTAAAGTCATATTATACCTGCAGATTTTTTGGATTAAAAAATTGGGGCCCAAGTGGACTGTACCATTATTCATAAGGTCAAATACTCTCTTGATGATGAGACAAATCAAGACCAGTGCTAGCTGGATCATATTCTCTTGCCTATTCCATTGCTTGCTTTGATCAATCATATGACAATGTGATGACAGAGAGGTTTAATTTCCACAATTGATCTACTGAAATACTACTTATTTTCCAGAAGAAATTAAAAACTCTGTGTATTGAATTTAACCAAAAAAAAAACTTTGTGTTGGCCGGCCATTTTGGATGCAACAAATATTGTTGGCCGGCCATTCCTGTCTGCTAAGTGCAATCAAAGCTCAAGATTTTCCAAAAGACTTGTGTTTTCCATCATATGGAAAAAAAAAGGGAAAAAAAAAGCTTGCCCCCTTAGAGCAAGGTCAATAGTGCAGCCCACTACTAGCTCCAAATCATCTATAGCCAATATAATAGCCAATTCATACAATAGTTACTTACTATACTATTAATACTTGGTCCCACCTGTCATACACACATTACATCTTGGAGCCCGTACTGCAGCTGGCTACAGATCTGTAGCCCGCTGCTCTTCTCTCTTTCTTTTATCTCTTTAAAATATGTTTATAGCTGGCTTATAGCCTGCTATTGTACCTGCTCTTAATGAAAGAACGCCACACAGCACAATGCACAGACTTTCAGGCTAATCGGCTAAGCTTTTGTCATCATTTGGCTACCTGAATCGACATGCACAATGCACAAGTATAGTCATATCTGTTTCATTACATACTTTTTCAGGGAATTTCTTCTCTCTAGTGATCAACTAGTACTTGACACATCGTTGTTGAGAGTTAAGACAGCAGGTTAGTTCACTCCATGTGCTACCAGTTAATAGCTTAATGATTGGTTATTAGAAGGGTAACAGAATCTGCCTGCTCAAAAAATGAAGAGGATAATATAATTTTGCTAGTAGTAGAAACCAGTAAGATAGTACCATCCAAATACAAATCTAGTTAACTGCATGTATGGCACTTAATATATATATATATATATATATATATATATATATATATATATATATATATATATATATATAGTTAACTTAATAACCAATCAAAAGTTGTAAACGTTGAATTTTTCTAAAAACATGTCCAACTTATAATCTTTTTTTTAGATCGGAGGGAGTATTATAAAGAAAAAAATCAGACCAAGGATACATCACAAGACCCTTCGAAAATGAAAGAGAACGAAATGTTACAGGTGATTGCCCAGCAATGGCCAATGGAAGGCTGATCCAGCAAGACACTGAAAACAGACTTGTCAAGTTGTCATATGTAAAGCTACCTACTACTTCACTGCATCAGTCCATTTCAGGATGGCACCAGTGATGCAGTGATTTTTAATAGATACCATCAAGAATACGAAAAATTTATAGTACAACAGAGTCAGCTTCAAGTTTTACAGCGCTTCCTGAATCCTGAATAATTTTAGTCCCGGAGCTTGCAGCACTGTCTAGCTTAAACCTAGCTGTACGCTCCTTTTTGTTGTGAGATACAACATACAACTCACAGGAACCACAAATTCAGCTTTAGGATTCGTTCATCTTGCCAGTCAAGACCTGAATGATCAGGACGTTGTGATGCCTTCTTGATCCAGGAAGCTGTCAGTTTGCCATCTGTACATCATCACAGGCTTACAGCCATTCCCTGAACCTCTCTTCTACGGTTTTCACGTGGTCACCAGTAGCCCATGCCAAGAAACAGACATTTCCCAGGTATTTGGATGGTACTTCCACTGTTTCCAGGTTTTCAGCTTATGCAGGAGTCTCCATCCATAATGTCAGAGGATGGTTTATCCTGCTGCCGAGGCGTGCTAACCTCCAGGAAGTCCTCTGCATTGAATTTCTCGATTCCTTCCCACTCCACCTCTGCTGTGTTCTCGAGTTAGGGTTTTAGCGATTTCACATCAAAATAAGGTATGATATGCTACATTATTATAGAGGATAACCAAAATGGCAAAATGCATGAGTGATAGACTGTTTGAAAAAGGATACGTGCTGTCTTCCACATGTCGGTAATGCTAACCCCGGCATCTGATAAGAGCCAGTAGTCTGCATCGGTCTGCAAATCAAAAATGGGTTGTCACATAATTAAGAACTTGTACCAGGGAGTAAACAGCTATATAAATTTTAAAGGAACACAAATGCAATACAAAGGCCTAAAAGGTATGTCCTGGAAAAATAAGAAAGGATTCTTTAGTTTACTTCCATTTTTATTGGAATTCTTTTGAGCATAATGTTTTTCTAATACTGTCCATAGCTTGGTACTCTCTCTACGAGGTAGCATAAAAAGTAAATATTCATTAAACTGTTATTTTCTTCCTAAAGGGAAAATGGAGACTGCAATTCATCTATGTGATGATCGATCAGTAACAAGATCAGATTCTTTGCAGGTCAAATTATCAATGAACAGATGGTAGAAGTGGGAAATGCTATAGAGTGCACAGAGAAGACAAGACGGAAATAGAAAGTGATATAGTGAGCCTTAAAAATGAAAGTGGCATAGTGAAGTTGCTGCGAAGTGGTTCTACGTGCATAATGAGAGAAACACATCAGGTAAACTGAGGCACAAAGTAAGAGGTACTTAAGTTCAGCAATAAAGTGAAAGAAGAGCACAAAAAAAAACAGAATCCTAGACAGATCAATTCAGGTTGAAATATCATGCCAACAGTTACGCAAGTAAAACTTACATCAAGTTCTGAAGGGACAATCTTCATCATCCCGCCAATATCCTGTGAACTAGAAGGAGCATCAGAAGGCATTAGCAGCCCATCTTGAATATTTGGCTGTGACTCTGCAGCTTTGTTGGGTTCTGCAGCCAATGGCGTCCTGGGATTCTCTAGAGAATCCATGCTTACTGGCTGCACAGTCCTTGGAGGAGTCTCCATGCCACTCATCTCCTCAAATTGACTAAAAATAAATAAATAATGGCATTAGCCTTCATGCTAAGTTAGAGCTCTACATTGTGAAGCTATGATCATAACATAGATGTACAAGTAGTTCAAGTAGATAAGCATATACCTAACTAGGTAGACATCTATTGGACCCATAGTACTCCTTAGAACAATCCTATATCTCCTCTGTGGATAATCATTCACCTGCACGAAGGAATACACCTCCATTAACAAAATGTAACATCCACCCAAGGTCCTGAACACAGAATACATGTTACAACTCACTTCATCAGGATCTGGGACCTCCAAAGTTGTACCATGAGGCGCTTTGATTGCGATCAGTGTCTGATTCTGCAAATTACAGTAAAGTATTGGTAATTTACTTGCTCATAAAAAAAACAACAGGATCATCTAACAATTACTAGAGTTCAAAATAGACAACCTGGAAGCAGGGCAAAGACTTGATGTCATCTTCAGTAACATATAGCCACCTGTAGGAAGAGAGAAGCAAAAACAGATCTTAAGCTTACATTGTAGTCAACACATCTTAGGTAATTATGTTGTACTAATAGCTACTTTTGAGAGAAAAAAGGAGATAATTACTTTTGGTTATTTTCATCTTCTGTGAGTCCTCTTAACTTATCTCGCATTTCACTGCAAGAAACATTCGAACAACATGCTTAGTGAAAGAATCAAAGAATCACACCAGGAACTCTAACTAACTGTTCATCAACCTTATTTGTTGATCTACGCTGTGCTCCTGCAGTGAGAGGGCTTCAATATCAGCCTGTGGGTGACAAATATATCATTAGTTAAGCACCTGCTTCCCCAGAACATGTTTTCAATCAGAAGCAATATTTAATAATTGTAGTAACAATAATAGGATATAACAAAAGCATGATACCTGTAAGATGGACATATCATCACTAACTTCTCCTGGTCGGGAGTCATCAATTCCTCTGAAAAAGGAGACATAAAGCATGTGATACCCATAAAATGCAATTTACAGATATGGATATAAAGAGAATATATTACTTCCAACGGATATTGTTCTTGAGCTTCTTTTCTATCAGCCCTATCCCTTCAAGGACATTAGTGATGTCATATATACGCCTTTTTTGTACCTGCAAAACATTTTACATACATATAAGCTTGACAAAATAAAGGCGTGTTAGCAAACAGGATATGAGAAAAAAACAGAAGGAAATATTAACCTCCAGTGTTTCTGCGGCATTATTCAAATCAACTATGCCGCCAGGTGCACCCTTTAGCAAGTTTAGGAACTTTTTTGTCAATAGCCCTGAAAGACAATACCGATAAATGGCATAAATAAGTAAAGAACCTACCGATCAAACCTCAAAACCCAAACGAGAACATCAGTTAAAATATGAGTTACTCTTCTTACCTAGGGAGCTATCATATCGGCAGCCACCAACAGGTGTAACCGGATTGCCTGGAGAACCTGGCAAAGAGGATGGGGTTAACATGAGTAACTTTTCCCGTGATAACGATGATTCATGGGCTCATGCTAACTCCTGACTGAATGTGCAGTACTCACTAGCGCACAAAGGGGTCTGGGGACAAGATTTCTGGCCTTTTGCAGCTTTTGATTTGGCAAAAGCTTTTGAACCTTTTCCTGAAAGCGGTGTTGGAACTGGGCTGCCTGCTGGATTAGTGTATCCAGGGCTCATCATCCAGTCATTTGATTCAGCAGCTTCATTCTCTTCTCTGTCATGTTTCCGCTTTAACTACAAACAAAATATTGTTGTCAGATTATGAGCAGGCAAAATATTGCAGGAAGATGTCTCAGTATACTTTCAAAAGGCGATAAGTTGTACGTGTTACAGGACAAGGTTGTCTGAAGTGTTCTGTTCAACAACAAAAAAAAAAGCAATACCTAAGAAGAATCACAATAGCAAATTCCATAAACTGTATTCGTCTGACGCCAGAAGTCTTATTTGCATTTACGCATTACTTCACGAGGATTCAAGCTAAGGGGAAGAGAGCCATATGAAAGAAATTTAACTCAGAAACAGAAGTTTTCAGAAGGGTAACTGTTACCAATGGATCCTGGTAAAGTTAATTAATATGAGAACTGCTTCCTGAATTAAGAAATTATAATAGATTATCGGTTGAAAACAATGGAGTCAATACTCTGACAAATTCAAATTCCATGCTTCTTCTAACAATGCATTAGGTAGCAAGCCAAAGATTGAAAATTGTGACATAGGCACAATAAAATTTATAAAGTTGTGGAGCGCTTGAGGTTTTCAAACAAGCGCTTGAATAACATACAGGCATGAGCTAGAATTGGTTGCTAGGACAGTGTTTAGTAATTTTACATTTTAAGCTTAATTAACCCTCTGCAAGAGATGGAAGCATGACTATCAGCTATCGCAGAATTTCAGCAGCATTATGTCTCACTATTATAAGACAGTACATAGGAAACCATACTGATCCATGGTCCTATAAGCTTCCATGAGCGAAATTTACCTACATGCCCACATGACAAGTGCAACAATGTCAAAAATTCCCCTTCAGAACTTGTACCCATTTCCCCTATTTTAAAGATGAACGAGAAAACAACATATCAGTCACATTTGGAAGTAAGGTGGTTATTGAATCCCCTCCTCACCGTAAAATTTAGGCAGCGCTTGATTAAATCATTCAGTTTAACATGAAGGACCAACAAGGGCCTTCCAAAATGGCTCACACTACATCAATCCATGAGTACAAGAATCACCAGACCATTCGCCGTGGACTATCAAACTAGTTCAGCTTTGCGCGGCATCACTTAACTACGAAAAAACCCTCATCTTCCCCAAAGCAGCCCTTCAATGAGTAATAAGTGAAATCCAATTTTATAAGAACGGTGTTAACGAGTTCCACGGAATTATTCCAACCTACCTAGCAACAGATTCAACAAAAACCTCAGCGAAGCGTCCCCATCTGACCAACCCCATCCGGGAACATCAGAAACACAGAAGAATTATCAAATCTCTCTGCAGAATTACGCGGCAACCCACGGAGGCGGGCAAAATTCAACCAAAATTTTTTTCCCTCCGCCGCAGCAAGAAACCACCCATACCCCATCCATCCACCCAGCTCGCTCGCCCAACCAAATCTACCCCGTCACCTCTGCAGCATTGCTACTACATCCCAGCTACCGCCACGGCAGCGCAGACAAACTCACGCCTCTCCTCGCCGCCGGCGAGACGGGTGGGGGACCACACCCCGCGAGCGTTCGTCCAAATCGAACAACTGAAACGAGTAGTAAACAAGGTTTTCCACAGTGTCAACCCCCCCGGGAGGGACTCACTGGCGTCCGGATGAGCACGGCCTCCGTCATGTCCCCGGCGGCGGCGGCGCCACCGGAGCCGAACTGGTGGTACTCGCCCGGCGGCGGCGCGAACGGCTGGTAGCGCTGGAGCAGCACCCGCGCGGCGACCTCGCTGGAGCCGGCGCCGGCGGCCGCCATGGGGGGGGGATCGGGAGGGGGAGGATCGCGGCGCGGCGCGGCGAGCGCTAGGGTTTGGATCTGAGGAATTTTTTGGCGGCAGAAGAGGGGGGAAAAACGAGGGAAAAGTGGGGGAGGAGACGAAAGGAGGGAAATTCCGGGTTTTAGAAGGAGTGGTGGCTAGAGGAAGGAGGGACACTATTCTAGAGGGAAATGAAAAAATAAAATATATGAAAATTGAAAAGCCCTTTTTTTTAGGGCAACTTTTTAATGATTGTTGTTAGGAGTAGTTTCTTTTTTAGGTTCACAATATGATTTTTTTTCTCATGTTTATTAGTATCAATTTATGTTTTATGTTTTTGTGGTATAAATTTAGCATTTGATTGAATTTTGTCAAACCCTATTCTAGAGGAAAATGGAAAAAGGGAAAAAAACGGATGAAAAGTCCTTTTCTGGGGGAACTTTTTAATGATTGTTCTTAGGAGTTGTTTCTTTTTTAGGTTCACAATATGAATTTTTCTCATGTTTATTAGTATCATTTTTTTTGTTTTATGTTTGTGGTATGAATTTTTCATTTGACTGAATTTTGTCAAACCCTATTCTAGAGGAAAATGGAAAGAGAAAAAAAGGATGAAAAATCCTTTTTAATGATTGTTATTAGGAGTTGTTTCTTTTTAAGGTTCACAATATGAATTTTTTTCTCATGTTCATTATCAATTTTCCCTTTTTTAGGTTTGTGGTATGAATTTTGCATTCAACTGAATTTTGTCAAATCATGTACTTTTTATGTAGATGAGTCATAGAGTGCGATGAGATACGTGTTAAACCTTATTATCTTTCACACTTTGTTTTGAAAAAAATCCAATAATCTCAATGGATGCCATTTGCTAAAAGAAAAACCTCAATAATTTAAAAAAAAAAACTCCTCATATTCCGCATTATTATAAATGTTACTACTAGTTTGTCTAACTTGTGTCGATCAAATTGACCATATTGTCATCCTGTTAACCTAAACTAATGTTACTTTGGCAAAATTAAGTTACCCAGGAATTTTAGCAACGCGCTAATGCGATGAATTCGAATGGAAAAGGATAAAAGAAAAAGGAAAAAAAATTCCATGGGCGATAAAGCGATGCGTGGGTGAGAAACCGTCCAGCTGTGCGTGGGGTCCGAAATCCGTGGGGTGTGAAGAAGTGCGCGCGCTTTTTGTTTTTCCCGCCACGGCGGCTTCTGTGCTTTCCTGTGTGTTTTGGCGGGGAGCCTCCTGATTGGCTCGCGCCAGCGCACCAAAATGACCCGGTAAAAATATAAATGCGTAACCACACCGAGAAGACGGAGGCTGACAGGTGGGCCCATGGGTTTGGCTGTCCCACTGGTCAGCGACTGAAGCAGAGGATGGTAGGGGCGGGACGTGGACGTGTCCTGGGAGGAGGACGGGAGTACGGTTCTGGATCGTCTGTGGCAACACAGTGTCTCTGCGACTCTCTGGACTCTGGTGTTGAGTTTATCTTAGCCGTTAAAATGTGCATCGAGATTCGTGCTATGGATAGATGAGCTTTATATTGTACGTCTGTACCCAAGGATGTGCATCGAGATTAGTTGTAGGGAATGCAAGAAAGCGCATACCATCCGAGCTGGCTTTATCCTCTTATTTCTCACGTGTCACTTTAATTGTTATAAAGAATTTAGAAGATATATTAATAAAAACATTCAACTGCAGTATTATATATCTCGTCGAGGACTATAATTTTGATATAAAGTTTATATTCGTCCGACTTTATACATGTAATTCTCTTAAAATATAAGGTTATATTTATATGTGGTCCATTGGGAGGACCGTTGCACTGATCAATTACTAGTACAACCGGTACTTTAAGAAGTCTACCTATGGAACCAACATGACCAAACTTTAGAAATTAATAGAATTTCCATTTTTGAGTATGGTTGAGGTGAGCCAAAAGCTCTCTATGATCCTTAACATATTTTCTTTTAATATGGTCATGTCAATATTTCCTTAGGATACTTATTTTTAATATTATTATCCATTGTTCTCAAAGTTGTATGTGAATGATCGTATAAGAAGCATTTTGCAAGAAACATTGATCATATTTAAAGGTAATATTGTAACATCTCGGAGAATTTTGGTTCACCTAAATTCGACTTAAATAAAATTCCCACGGCTTTCAAAGTTTCAACATTTTCAAATAGTAAGGACAGAGTTTCTGCAGGCGGACTTCCCTAATAAGCTTCGTCTACTAGTTGATTTTTACATGTGGCTTTTTAAAAGTATTTCTAAAAAAATAGATTTGAAATTATATAATAAATATTTGGCCCCTAAACGATATCAAATGAAAAAAAAAAGACTCCCAACTACAATTGTGAATGGGAAACCATCGATAACGGAATTATGGGTATATTACTCTATCCGCTACTCCCTCCGTTTCACAATGCAAGACTTTCTAACATTGCTCACATACATATAGATGTTGATGAATCTAAACACATACATATGTTTAGATTCATTAACATCTAAATAAATGTGGGCAATGCTAGAAAGTCTTACATTGTGAAACGAATATAGTAGATTTCAAAATAATCATGACGAACATATGCTTTTCAGTAAGATTTATGTGAGGTTAGTAGCCAACCTCCATATTTTCAGCCTGTATTAGAGCAGTGCAATTTCACGTACGTGCATCGATCAGTGCATCACTTGAAGGAAAAAGAAAATCAACATACAAGTCCTTAGACGAATGAAACTAAATCAAATTTGATATATACACCGCGTACGTGCAAACAAACGTCAATCAAGATCTGAATCGTCAACGAAATTTGCATGAATCAAAAAACAAAACATCAAAACAATTTCGATAATACAACAGGGACATAAAAAACACACACACAAAAAAAGGGAAAAATGATACGAATTTGTCAGTACTTCACGGTGCACCGGTCGCCGGAGCGGAGAAAGCCGGTGACGCCGCCGCCGCCGCCGCCGCCGCCGCGGCGCTCGGCCTTGACCGGAATCCTCACCGGGCACCGAACCTTCGGCCTGGCTCTTATCGGGATGAAGCCCAGCTTGTACCTCACCCGCGCGTCGATCACCATCTCGAACCCGACCTCGCCGCCGCCGCCGCTACCCTTGATCTCCTTGTCCAGCTCCGCCGCCACGTCGCCGGCGACAGCGACGCCGCCGCCGCCGCTCCGGTCGAAGTCGATCGCCACGACGGTGGTGGACATCCTGGGCTGGTGGAACACCCCGGGGACGGTGGCGTTGGCGGCGCCGAGCGACGCGCCGCCGGCGAGGAGGAGGAGGAGGCGGGGGCGGATGGCGTCGTAGTGGACCCCCGCGCGGCCGCTGGGGTTGTACATGGTGACGTTGACGGCGAGGCGGTAGTACACCACGCCGCCGCTGCCGCCGCCGTCGGCCGTGCCGTTCCTGACAACGACGGTGAGGTTGGACAGCTCGGCGGATTCGACGGCGGCGCGGATGCGGTGGGGCTGGTAGGTGGCCCAGTAGATGAGCACGGCGACGCCGATGCAGACGAGGAAGGCGCAGAGGCAGCTGCAGCAGGTTCCCCCGCCTCCGGCGCGGGCCATGGCCATGGCGGCGGCGGCGGCGTGTGCTTCGATCGATGGATGGATCGAGCTCGATCTCGCTTGCGGTTTTATGTAAACATGATGAGATGGGAATCGGGAATGGATGGATGCGGAGGTGGGTGACGAGGGTTACCTCTCGCTGGATCGTTGGAACATATTCTAATCACCGCCGCGCAAGCAATGGATGGATCAGCATCACGTGCCATGGCTTGAGGAAGACGAAGACCAGGAGGAAAAGAGGAGGATTCATGGCGGGTTAAAGCTTCAAAGTTCAAACGTACGGAGCGCGGGCTTCAATTCAGACCACATCAACCCCCGGCCCGGCCCAAAAGGGAGCATGTTGTTGGGAGTCCGTAGGGCCCAGCTAGATGTGGATAGTCCAGATTTTATTTTATTTCTTTTATAGCTTTATATAATTTCTAAACAATAAAATATTCTAAAACCTGTTCACTCTGTTCCAAATTAAGTACTAGTTGTCATTGGATTCTATTTATATTTGTTTTCGATTATACGGTAGACGCACGCGTACACACACCACTACACTCACACCATGTGTCCCTTAACACACATTCTAACTGGCAGAAATCAACGACGGTATATTTCAATAAAATCCTATTGAACAGTCCACTTACATGCAGATAATATTTATGGCATCAGGATTTAAATCTTGATGGGTGGAATCCACCACCACACCACTGGTGATTCCCTGGATTCTATTTATATTTAAACTTAGATCACCTTTGTTTTAGTAACTGATCCATAAACAAATATTTTAACACACAATATATTATCAAGTGTGTTGCATGCATAAACATTCTTACTCCCTTCGTTAAAAATCTAAACTAATAATAAGATGCTAGTATATAATCTAGTATAATAAATCTAGATAGACTTGTAATTGTAAACGACGGTTGCGTTGGTCTTTGCTGTGTCTACATGAGCTGTTGCTTGCAGTAGACTAAAGCAATAAGGGTTCACAATTCCGACGAAAACCGGTCGAATTTCGTTAAATTTTGAGGTTTCGATAAGGCTCAAAAGTAGAAGCTGTCTGAGATTTCGATAAGTTTCATCCAAATTCAAATTTGAATTGATAAAAAAGGAAAAAATCAAATAAAATCTTATAAATAGTATGATATTCATAGAACCTATTGGGATATAAATTTACAAAATTTTTAATGTATTCCGTGTATTTACTAAAATTTACAGTAGGAAAGAAAAGAATAACGAATTAAAAAATGGAAAAAAAAAGTTCATTTTACCTCTTTTTCTAGTTACCGATTGAAATTTCTATAATTTTGCTCGGAATTTCACCAAAGTCGGCCGGTTTTCGCGAGCTTATCTGTGAACTCAAGGAATTTATATTCAAATTTTGGTTTATGAAAATTGTTCGGAATCTATTGGCTTTCTACCGGATTTCGCGAAAACCGTCATTCCACCAGTGTCCGAAACGGAAGGCCATCTCGGAATCGTAAACTGTGGCAACAACTCTTCTTACATTTGCATTGGCCATGGAGCAGCCATGATAAGAGACCGGGAAAGATAGTCTTTTTATGACATGTAATTTATTTTGTCCAAGGTATGAGATGCTGTGTTGGGATGGAGCTCTTTCTCGTTTACTGGTTGTCTTATCAGCCTCAAAAAAAATAAATTTTGTTTTAAATCGATTTTCAAAAAATAAATTTGCAGTATTCTACCTCACCGCTTTATCTTTTAAACAGCTAATAAAACAAATATAAAAGTTCACTGATAATTTTTTTTCTTCATTCATTCTTTTAATAGTATACCTTATCTGCTGTAACTCAACCGATCAGATTTGTCCAATTTAACACCAATCAGTTTCGTTTAGTTTAATTTAATCAAAGAAAATAGACGTTTCTGCGAAACATCACTACGTACTTAGAAGTAACCTGGATGGAACAGTGATGGATGGCCTCGAAGCCTTCGGGCCAATAGGATCGACCGGCGATGGGGCGTTGACTCGGAGCCTTATGTCAAGTCAACGCAGCTGAGGCTGGTGGATGCATCATGCATGGCCCCACACTCCCACTAATCACAACCAATGACAGCTGATGATCAACCTTAACACTCTAAACTAGGAGTAACTTACTAACGCATTTCAGAAACATGTTTATATTAATTTTCCAATCGCAAATACCAAATGAAATTCGTTCAAAAAATTGTAGATTGAAATTCAAGGATAGTAGTATCACATAATACAGTTGGAACAAACGATTATCACTGACACCCTACACCCAAAAAAAATACAAAAATATGAATGTATTTTCACAGAAACAAATCAACAAGTGGCTCACAAATCTGAAAGAAAGAAAAACAATTTAATACACTCAAATCATTGCCCACTAGCTAGCTAGCTCCTCTAGTACTTGACGCTACACCGGTCGCCGGAGTCGAGGCGGCCGCCGCCGTCGGCCGTGACGGGGATGGTGAGCGAGCACCATATCCTCGGCTTCTGCCGGATCTTGATGCTGCCGAACCTGTACCTCACCTTGCCGTCGACGGCCACCTCCAGGCTCACGCTGCCCTTCCCCTTCTCCTTCCCCAGCTCGCCGGCGGCGTCGCCGGCGACGGCGACGCCTGTCCCGGCGAACTCAAACGTCACGTCGTCGGAGCTCTTCCGCCGCTGGTAGAACTCGGCCGGGGTGGCGCCGGTGGCGTGGCCGAGGCGCTCGCCGCGGAAGCGGAGCTCGGAGTCGAGCTCGTCGTAGTAGATGTTGACGCGGAGGCTGGGGTTGTAGAGGTTGAGCCTGACGGCGAGCTTGTAGGAGACGGCGGCGCCGGCGACGGTGAGGTTGGTGAGGTCGGCGGAGGCGACGGTGGCGCGGATGTGGTGGGGCTGGAAGATGGCCCAGTAGATGAGCACCACGAAGCCGCCGGTGACGATGAAGGTGAACAGGCTGCCGCAGCAGGTCCTCTCCTGGTTGCCGCCGCTTGACATGGCGGAGCTAACGGCGGCGGCGGCGGAGGAGGAGGTTGCTCGCCGGAGTCGCTGGTCAACGGCTCGACGCGGAGGCGAAGGGTTGGAGAGGGGAGAAGGGTGCGTCTTCGTGTGAGCTGGATGAGTGGGAATTAATACCGAGTTGTCGATGAGGGTTAGAATGGTCTAATCACCTACCATGAGAAATGATAGTTGTACGCATGGTATGTGCACACAATTTTTCGAAGGATATATACTTCGCGCATGCCGACTAACAAATATCATCGAAAATTCTAAATTAAATTATACACGTAATTCCAATATAATAATATTATACCTATGTATAAACAAAAGTCTTATCCTCAAATTTATTATATTTTACCCGTGGAAAAAAATAACAGATTTAAGAGAGTAAATATGTGAAAATCCTATCATTTTATGGCAAAAGTATAATGTGTTTGAATATAAGATTTTACGCATAGGTGTAGTACCAGTAGAAATACATATAGAGCTGTTTCTACAATTTCGGTAATAATTGCTAATTAGTGTATACTGAGTGTGCCGAAAGCTTATATACGTAGAATATGTTCCCTATCAATTCTCATCATATGCAAACAATGGCATGGCATGATGAGAAAGATGTTCCTAAATATAAAATTATTTTCATGCAAAAACAATTAAGAGTGTAATAGATTTTCTAGGGGCTATGATGAGAAATGGTTAGCCCTTGAAGAGGAAGAAGGTTTGCTAAGATACACTTGATAGCGAAATCTCAAAGTCACGTGTTCAATTCTTAACATACTTACAATTTCTTTTTTTTAAAAAAAAATGTTTGGAGGGACGTTCCTCCCTCCAATTTTTTTTCAAGAAGGTTGGTTGATGTGAATATTAGATGGGTGATTGGCGTGTGTGTGTCTATATATATATATATATATATATATATATATATATATATATATATATATATATATATATGTTACATGGAGCTACCATAACATTATAACATAGAGCCCCCATAAAATGGCTAGCATATGCTTAAGTTTTTGTTTTCCATAATGGTATGAAAAACAACTGAGGGGCTAGACGGCTAGTTTTCTGGGGGGGAACATATTAAAGATTGAAAAAAAAACAAAATAGCATAAATATGTATGGTATCTTTTGTAGCAAACAAATCTGTCGTCAACATCACGCGTGTGCTGTCGTTATATGAGGAGCAAGGACCAAATTGATAGGGGGGCATTTGCAAATTTGCCACCGGTTTTTTCAATTTGCAAGGATGCCACTCGAATGACAGTTCTAGTGATATTTTTGTAATTTTCTAGTGATAGTTTTGCAATAACAATTTAAAGTAGTGGTAAATTTGTAATTACCCATTATGTGCTTGTTGGTAGGAGGAGTAAAGATGTGCATATTTGTATGTCAGTGTGTGGCTATGTTTGTTTCAGATATGTTTTCAATTACTCCATAAACATATGCACGGATTAGAAGCATGCCTCTTTGCACACACCTAAATAGCACATGAAAGTGTTACACATAAATCAATATATCTCATCGCTCTTATTCAGACAGATGGCATCCATATTAATTTAGAATCCGTTTAGCTGAGTTAGGGTATGAAGTATGAACAACAACAATTAATAACAGGCTCTCAGAAATGTTATCAAGGTAAGTCTGTTGATACATAGAAAAGGAGAAAAATATCGTTGTTATGCATGATAACGTTTTAACATCGACTCTTAATTAGTATGTATAAGAGAAAACTTTGCTACAGTAGGATGGAGAAAAGGAAAGAAAGAAAATAAAACAAATGTTTTGGTGCATTAATTGTTTACTGTTAGCATCTTTTGTCGTTTTAACAATTGCAGGATAATCTCTAGATATACTAAGAAGACCATATAGCAATCTCTACCTTTTAACATTCCCTTATGCACCGACGACTACATGACATTTAATGGAGGGGGTACACTAGCAATGTCCCCATACCATTATCTAGCTAATGATAAAACTAGCTGAATGTGGGACCTGCAGCTAAAAACATTATCAATTGACCTTGACCAAGCAAGCGATTAACCTAAAGCCATGTTGTTTATCCGCGTTGCAGCCTAGTTTCCTGGGCCTTTCGGGACGACAGAGACGGAAACCGCGTGTACACAAACCAATTTTAACCTTTTGTTCTTGAGCTAGACATTGTTTGCATGCTCAAGTCTTTGTTTTCTCTTCTCTTTTTTCCTCGGGTTATTATCTTTTGTCTACTCCTTAATGCTGCTGTTTTGTTTTCGTGAGATGCTGACAGTGACAATTGACAGCAGGAGAGAAATCAGTCAGCAAATGCAGCGGTTAAAACTTGAAAGACGCTGAACCTGAAGAGAGTAACTAGTTGGATGGAATTCAGAAAACGGCATCTTTTAAGTTTGTGCCTCTTCTCTGAACGCTGCTGCGATTCAAACTGAAAAAGATTCAGTGTAAAGTGCCTGAACCATGCATAATTTAATTATTACCCAGAGGATATAGCTAACATACTTTAGATTCGAGACACATTGGAGTTTAGACAGAATAGCATTTGCCTCTCTTCAAGTTGAATTCCCCGTGAATTTGTCTATGGAGGAGTCGGAATTTAGAGAACTTTTACGGTACAATCTACTGGCAGCATATCGGATCGGATCGGAGTAATTAAAGAAGAGGGCGATCTGCTTTCACCATAGCGTTTCGCGCGTTTTACGATCGGCGTGTTTGTTTCTGCGTCTATCCACGTCGCCTTTTTTTGGGTTTGACCCCCCGCGCGCGTCCGGGCGCTGTGCTACCGGAGGTGGAGGCCCTTTGAATATTGGCGTGTCGTGTTTTCCTACACCGGTTTGTCTGACTGGTGGGACTGTCATTTTGGTGGGGAAGTTCTATGTGTGATGGGTGGTTGAGGCCCTGTGAAAAAGTTCTATGTGTGATGGGTGGTCGAGACCCTGTGAAAACCGGCTGGGTGCTTCTCATTGTTTCCATCGGTCCACATCGGAGTAGTTAAATTTTTTTTGATCCATGTGCAGCGTTCATGGTGGACCAGGTAGTTGCCTGTTTCTTCTCCTGCTGGTCTACCGTGGAGAGAGACCACCATGGGCACATTACGCTTCCCTAGGACTGATGTGTTGCTGCAGTGAGAGATTTCCTTCTGCTCGAGTGAAGATTGCCATTGGCTTTGTGGACATGGTCCATTCTACGAGCGTGTGGTGGGCTGGGAAAAATAGAAGCCCGTCCATGCGCTGGGAGCACGCTTGGCTGGGCTTGTCCGTGCGTACGGGACAGCCAACGGTGGTTCGACAGTGTCTCCCACAATTCCCCGTAACGGTCTGTGAGCAGCTGTGCTTCACTGTGTCTTCATCAATGCCGCCCAACTGCCCCCTCCCATTTCTGCTTCCCCGGTTTCGTTTTCTTTCCTTGGAAGCTTCGCTGCCGTGCTCTCCTTTCTTCCCAATTGTTTTCACTTTGTTGCCGTCCATGGAGACCGCGAGGTGAAATACGGCCAATTTTTTCTTCATTTGAAGGATCTCCTTCTCTCTACTTACTGGATGGCTACCTGTTGTAGGAACACTTTCGTTGTTTGCGCTGTCGCCGTCGTGGGTGTCTAGGAGACGAAGGTATTCTCCGTTTTGACCCCGGTGACCTAATCCTTCCGTTCTTGCTGTTCCAAGGAGTTCTTTGTGCCGTCAAGCCGCCCTCTGGTTCTTCCATCCGTCGTCTTCAGGCCTCCCCTTTTGAAGGTGATTCCTTGCTACGGTTTTACATCCTTTACTCGCTTTATGGTCTCCGCTTCCGTTATGTGTGCATTTATGTTGTGTCCATTGGGGAGAAGAGAGTGGGTAGTTGGGACGGACGTCGACGGTCAACGTTCCTCTTTTTTCCTTTTGTTGTCCACAGGCCAGAGCATGTATGCTATGGCTGTCCCTGGGCTTTATCTGGTCTCCTCTTTCTTACGCCTTGCCTACACTTCACACACGCTCCTTCTGTAGTTCATTGGCTTGCTTTGTCTATTTTTTGAGTAGTCTCTCTGCGATTCGCAGTGCCAGGCGGGATGGTCGTGGTTGGGGTTTCCTTCGTTTCGTTGTTGAACGCGGCCGCTTGCCATTGCCGTCTTCCCTTGGTGTCGTACCTTTGGGAGCTGGATGGCGATGGTGTCTTGCTAGCTGGCGTAGAGCTTGCTCTGCCAGTCGAGGCGCCCAGTTGCGATACAGTGAGCAAGTTTTTTTGGTGCCTGCAGCAAAGCCTCTTACTGTTTCTCATGAAATGGCTGCTCAGCAAGCTGTTCGTTTCCTACAAGCTAAGTACGGTTTTGCAGTGCACGACTACAACTTTGAAATGTTGCTCTCCTATAGGAGGATAGCGTCGTCTGCTGTAGACGCGGCTATCATGGCTGCTGCGTGTCTTGCTAGTTCCCAAGGACGCTATGGAGCAGCATATCTGCCTTGCGAAACTATTATGAGGCAGTGCAGCTCTCTATGGTTTAGGTTTGTTATGGAGGAGCATTTTTTCTGTAGCGTTCACAGACCTTAGAGCTGCCCTATGGTGTGGAACACTTCCTACGTTAAGAACTCCTATTCAGTCTATTGTTTGTCTTGCATCTGCAATGTAATAACTCGAATTATTTTTTCCCCTGGTTTGATGGTTGCTTGATTCCTCATGGTATGTTCAATGTTAATGAGCTTACTACATATGCTAATTCTATTGTCATGGTGTGTTCAATGTTAGGGAGCTTACTACCTATGTTAATATGACGTTTCCTGTTAATTGTATTGTCATGTTATGTCTGACCTATGGTTTGCTATGCCATGTTTCTTGCGCAAGCCTGCAGACCAACTTGGAACAGCTGTTTTCGCTTTAGCCTAATGTCAGGTCAGCCCACAGCGCGTGTCCAACGGGCACGTGAAAGTCGGCTAAGACGGCAATGTTTGATAGGCCAGGGTCTGTGCTATGTACCATTTTTTCCCCCTTTCATTTTCGGCCTGTGTATCTAACTAACCAGCAAGGCTTGATTGGGTAGGTTACTTGCAAGGTCCAGTCTTTACAGGGTCTAGCTCTACAGCTTGTGAAATCCGTGCTCCTTTGGCATCTACACCGGCTGTTCCTAGATATAATGAGTGTCCAAGCACATCCTTACTACCTTCATATCAGGTAGGGCAGTGTTCTTCTAGTACTGGCACAGGTCTTGCCATGGAAGGGACTTCTACTGGCGAATGTGTTCTAGCGAACTCTAAGAGTAAGCACACATCTGATTAGTTGTCTTGCGTTACTTTGATAAAAAAACTGAAGAGAACATTATTTCGATGCCTTGCTTACTGCATATGGTTGTGTTTAGGAAAGAGAACATTGCTAGATATACCGAGAAATGCTGCTGCAGCCAATAGGGAAAGACGTTGTTTGAAGAGATCAGGAGATCGGGCAAACTGTTTGGTGCCAGATATTCGTAGCGGTATGGTTGTTATATGTATTGCTGTTCTTTCCCCTTTCCCTGTGTGCCTCGGAGTTACTTCTATCTTATGACGTGCTCCTTCAATTGCACACACTCTTCTAATGTTAGGTCCCAAGCCTACTGCTGATGACGTATTACCTTTGCCTAAGGATTATATTGCATCTTTAAAAGGTCAGTGCTATTGTGTGTTAAACAATAACTGTGTACATTTAGTGCTGGATCTGCCCTTATAGTTCTAAGATGCAGCATTGTACCCGGAACGGTCTTACTATGGTGGTCCATCCCATGAATGTCCATATTGTGGTGCCATCTTTTGGTACCAGGAGAGGGTAAAGAAAGGGAGTGTGCTCTCACAGCGGAAAATCATTTACAATCTGTGTTGTAGAAGCGGTAAGATAAACCTGCCCGAGCTGAAAGATCCACCTACTTACCTAGCAAAGCTTCTAAAATACGATGGCGATGCGCGATCCAAAAGATTCTTGCGTCAAATCCGATCATACAACTCCCTTTTTGCATTTACTTCCTTAGGAGCAAGCGTTGATAAGTCGATAAACAATGGATCAGCACCATGTGTTTTTAAAATCAATGGAGTGGTTCACCATCGGATTGGTGGTTTGCTGCCACAACGAGGTGCTCCACCAAAATTTGCTCAGCTATACATTTACGACACTGAAAATGAGATAAAAAACAGAATGGATATCTTTGAGAAAGATAAACCCAGTGATGAACCAGATCCAAAAATTGTTGCTGGCCTGACCTCTATGCTTGATGAGCATAATGAATTGGTGAAAGCATTCCGCTTTGCTAGGGATCGTTTGCAGGCCCATGGCGATCACAAGGTTGCTCTTAGATTACTTGGGTGCGATTCTAGGGATGAAATTCAGTATAATCTCCCAACAAGTGGTGAGATTGCTGGCATTGTGGTTGGTGACTATTCAAACAGTCAATATACATACGATGTCATGGTTCAGTCCACCGATGCTAGGTTGCGACGTGTTTCTGCTCTACATCCATGTTATATGGCCCTTTAGTACCCTTTGCTTTTCCCTTATGGAGAGCATGGATTTCATTTAGGCATAAAATATACTGACTTCCCTAGCATCGTCGGTAACTCTCGACGCTATGTGACAATGCTCGAATACTATCGATACCAGCTACATTATCGACTAAATAAACCAAATCCATTTACATGTTGTGGCCGTCTTAGCGATTCTTTGTGTGTGGACTCATATTCGACTGTTGAGGCATCAAGACTTAAGTACATAGCTGACAATCAACCTGATCTTCGTACTGAATCTGTCCAAGGGATATCAGATGCGATTGACCATGGGCTTGCATCTGGGGATTCTGTTGGCCAAAAATATGTGCTTCCTACCAGTTTCACTGGAGGAAGGCGCTACATGGTGCAGAATTACCAAGATGCAATGGCCATCTGTCGTGTGTTTGGCTCCCCCGATCTTTTTGTGACTTTCACATGCAACTCAAAGTGGCAGGAAATATATGACGCTCTTTTATTCGAACCAGGCTAGCTGCCAAGTGACCGTTCTGACATGATTGTTAGAGTCTTTAACATGAAAGTGAATGAATTTATTTCAGACATTAAAGAAGGGAAAACGTTCGGTCCAGTCCTTGCTGGTGAGAGGCCAAACTAACACGGTTCTTTGCTCTATTTGTAGCAAATTCTAATTGTGGTCATCTGTGTATTGTAGTTCTCTACACAGTAGAATTCCAGAAGCGTGGGCTTCCCCATATCCATTGCCTTATCTGGCTTGCTGCAGCAAATGCTGAATTTAGCGTGCCCATTATTGATGGCTTCATTTCTGCCGAAATTCCCGATGTACTCACCGATCCTTTAGGTTATGCTTTGGTTGACGAATCTATGATACATGGCCCTTGCGGCAAACAAAACAAATCATGCCCATGTATGAAAAAAGATGAATGCTCCAAGCATTTCCCTAAGTGCTTTCAGGATGAGACCACTATGGATGAGTTTGGTTTTACTGTTTATAGACGCAAAAACAATGGTCGATATGTCATTAAGAATGGGGTTAAGCTTGACAACCAGTGGGTAGTGCCATGCAACATGGATCTTTTGAAAAAATACCAGGCGCATATAAATGTAGAATGGTGCAATAAATCTAACATGATTAAATACCTCTTTAAGTACGTGACAAAAGGGGCTGACAGAACAAAAGCATACTTTGAGGTTTCTTCCGATGCATCCAGCAAACCATCTGAAAATAATACTGCTCCAAAAAATGAAATACAAGAATACATTGATGCAAGGTTTCTGTCCACTTGTGAGGCGCTTTGGCGTTCTTTCGAATTTGATATACACTATAGAATGCCTTCTGTAGAACGCTTAACTGTTCACCTTCCAAACATGAACTTTGTCCGATACAAAAAGGGTTCTGATCTAAAGTCATTGCTGTCCAGCCCAGCAGCCAAAAAAACAATGCTGACAGAGTGGTTCGAGGCTAATAAGAAACATAGCAGCGCACGTACACTTACCTACTGCGATTTCCCAAAGGAGTGGTCATGGGACACCAGCTCACGTCGTTGGCGTCCTAAAACACCATCCCAGAAAGTAGGCAGAATGTACTATGTGAGCCCAGTGAGTGGGGAGCTTTACTATCTACGAATGCTATTGATGATTGTGAAAGGAGCGATGTGCTATGCCGACGTTAGAACCTACGACGGGGTTGTTTACCCAACTTTTAGACAAGCATGTGAGGCTAGAGGACTCCTAGAAAGCGATAACGAGTGGCATTTGCTTTTTGATGAGGCTGTGATTTCTGCTTCATCAGCCCAGCTAAGACAACTATTTGCAACTGTCGTGATGTTTTGCTCTGTTGGGAATGTGCGGGCTCTCTTTGAAAAATATTGGGTGTACTTTACTGATGATATCCAGCGACGCCTCCAAATAGCTCTGTCAAATCCTTCTTACATTGTTCCTGCTGATAGACTATTATCATTGTTGATGAAAGAAATGCAAATTGTTTTTTCAAACAGCGGTGGTAGTATAGATGATTATGATTTGCCACAGCCAGCGATTTACTCGAATGACGTCATAGGGAATCGAATGGTGGAAGAAGAACTTGGTCTTGATAGTGTTTTGCTAACTGCTGAGGCTCCCTCAATGATACCTAAGCTAAATATTGATCAACGAAATGTATTTGACACAATCATGCAACGAGTGAATGACTCCAAACCTGGCTTCTTCTTTGTCTATGGCCATGGCGGCACAGGCAAAACATTCTTATGGAATGCACTGATTTCGAAAATAAGGTCTGAGAAAAAAATTGTTCTTGCAGTTGCTTCTTCAGGTGTTGCTTCCCTTCTTTTGCCAAGAGGGCGTACCGCACATTCTAGATTTAAAATTCCGATTGATATTACTGAAAATAGCATCTGCACAATCAAAAGAGGAACCATGCTTGCTGAGCTTATTCAAAAAACATCCCTCATTATATGGGATGAAGCTCCGATGACACATAGACGATGTTTTGAGGCTTTAGATCGAACCTTGCGTGATTTGCTCTCTGAACACACACCTTCTAACAGTATTGTTCCATTTGGTGGTAAGGTGGTTGTGCTTGGAGGTGATTTTCGGCAAATATTGCCGGTCATAAGAAAAGGCTCACGTGCTTCTATAGTCGATGCATCCATCACGAACTCTCCTCTCTGGCACCATGTTATTCTTTTAAGGCTGACAATCAATATGAGGCTTCTGCAAGATAACCTTAGTGAGCAAAATCGTGAAAGCCTCGAGAAATTTAGTGACTGGATTCTAGCGCTTGGGGATGGTAGATTACCTGCAGTAAAAATGGACGATGAAACTGAAGCAACATGGGTGGATATCCCTGATGATATGTTGATTAAGACAGCTGGTGACAAAATTAAAGCAATAATAGAAGAGATCTTACCTGGCATGCCGTGCGATTGTTTGTCCAAACAACTCAACAGTTGATCATATAAATGATTGTGTTGTCGAGATGATACCTACTGAACCAAAAGAATATCTTAGCTGTGATACCATCTCAAAGTCATGTGACCACATGCCAGACTTTGATATACTTTACCCACCCGAGTTCTTAAATTCTATCAACGTGAACAATTTCCCCGCGCATAGGCTTGTGTTGAAAAAGGGTGTAACAGTGATGCTTCTGCGAAACCTGAATCAATCTATGGGGCTGTGCAACGGCACAAGGCTATTAGTTGTTTCGCTTGGCCAACGACTTTTAGAGTGTGTGATATTAACTGGATCTAACATTGGTGATAAAGCATTCATTCCGCGAATCGCGCTTACCACGACAAGTCCCAAGTGGCCTTTTACTCTTCAGAGAAGGCAGTTCCCTGTTCGTATATGCTATGCGATGACAATTAACAAGAGCCAGGGCCAAACCCTTTCACGGGTTGGCGTCTACTGAAAAAAACCTGTTTTCACGCATGGGCAACTATATGTTGCTGTTTCTAGATCAACATCAAGAGCAGGCCTTAGAATACTAATAGAGGATGAAGATGAGGTGTGTGTCTCAAAGACGAGAAATGTAGTTTACCAAGAAGTGCTGGAAGCAGTGAGATCTGTGGTATATTGTACACTGTTTGATTCTTCAGATCGTTCAGAACAGAAGCCTTCATAGCACATCTTAACGTTTCCTAATAAGACCCATCTCTATGTCTGCAGGAGCCTGAAAGTTGGCCTGCACCCAGATCACTCATACTATCCCAAGTAGTGTAGTCCTCTATTTTTTGTTGATTGTTTGTGTGAGTTGTTTTTGTATGTTCTTTTTCCTGCTCACTTGATAATTTGTTCTATGGTACAAGATCTGATCCAAGGAAATATGCATGCCTAACTGCTTATTATTATGCTTGCAGATGGCCGAGGTCCTCATTCCAGATCTTGAACAGGGTGATGGCAACCCAACGATAATCGTCCGTGTCTCAAGGTTGTGGGAATATCGTGATCAAAATGACGAAACAATTGTGCACAACATTAGCTTGGTCCTGCTTGATAAAAAGGTCCCTTCTCGAAACTCATCGGCAAATTGTTATCCATATATAAATGTGTTCTCTTTGTCTAACAGCAAATCTAAACAGGGAGCTAGCATTGCAGCTTATATTTATCCTCCACTAGATGTGGTGTTTGGGCCTATTATCACTGAGGGCAAGGTGTACCGCCTTACCTTCTATCGAGTGAGACCATGCAGCAGGAACTACAGGCCAGTTAACAACAGGATGTCGATTAATTTCACAAAGTGGACCACCTTGGAAGAACATCTTGATGTGCCAGCTGATTTCCCTTGCTACGCTTACTCACCTACTCCATACAATGAACTGCGCTCGCATGTCGACCGCAAAGACTCATTTACAGGTACTATAATTCCAACACCATTGTTTCTTATGATAGATTGTTCCAGTCTTCATATTGGCATTCTCTGTTTTCTCATATGATCTTTTTGTGATAGATGTTATTGGAGTCATTACTGAGGTGTCATCAGTGACAACTATTCAGACAAGGATCAAGGATGGTGACAGCCTAAAGAGGAGTGTTTGCATCCGCAACGCCGAGTTAGCGCTTCTCCTCATTTGTTTTTGAATATACTAACGCCTTTCATATAATGTGCCAGATTTACCATCTAACCTCCACCAAAGTTTGCTTTGCTGTTTTGCACATAAATTTGCTATAACAATGATCTCTTACTCCCACACAGCATCCCTACCACCTAAAAATAGCCACTAACCATACCATCATATTTTTAATTTAATTTCCCCTATGTTTATTACATAGCAATGTCATTATAAATATTGCATTGTGGGGAGAGCGGGCAACAAGCTTTCCTGAAGACGCGATTATCAGTGCTGGTGAAAAGGAACCGCAGGTGGCAATCTTTGTTGGCACACTTGTGCGGGGCTATGTCAGTAAGTATACTAACCGTTCTAATTCCATTTTTTTACCAGTATTAAATAACTTGGCTACATAGCTTCATACACTACTGTTGCAGGAAATGCCTCTCTAGGAAATGTCTCTTTGTCAGGTAACTCTGCTTGCAAATGGTATATCAACATCGACACACCAGAGGTGAACTCCTTCAAAGATAGGTCTGTTATCAAATTAGTACTGCTCAGCATCAATCTTACACACTACTTGGTGCTTCTGTTTCACTAACCACATTAACTCTGTGCAGCATCAAAGGGAACTACGAGCCCATACAGTTTATCGATATACCGGTTCCAAATGTTATTGTTGGTGCTGAACAGAAAACAGTTGCTCAACTTAAGGAGCTCCACCCATTTAAATTCAAGGTAAAACCTTGCTTGACCCAGTTTTGTAGTAAAAATCTACATATCTCCACACTGGAATATGCTAACTGACAAATACTTTCTACCACAGAAACATGAGTTCCAGGTTACTGTTGTTATCAAGAAGTTCTGCATGCAGGCCTCCTGGTGGTATACAGCCTGTGATATCTGCAAAAAAACTGCAAAGCCCTATGGAAGAGCATACAGGTGTGGAGACCCAACATGCCCACCTATTGTTTCAGCCTCACCAAGGTTAGTTCTTCTAAACCAAAAGATCCTAAGCAATAGGGAGTTATTGTTGTTGTATGACAATTGATATCTGGATGGTTGTTGCAGATTCAAGCTGAATATAATAGCAGGAGATGAGACAGCAGAGACCACATTTATTCTCTTTGGCCGTCTAGCTCAGAGGCTCATTGGTCGCTCCGTTGATACACTGCTCCATGAGAATCCATCAGATAAAGACTATATACCAAGTGCAATTACTGACCTGCTTGAAAAGCAATTTGTCTGGAATGTCAGTATCACAGAGAACACAGTTGCAACAGGCGTTTTGTCATTCCAAGTGAATAGGATTGTTGGGGGTGTTGTTAACAATACCTTGGCCCTTCTGCAGTCTCCCTCTGGGTCGCAGGCATATGCTCTGGGGCCTACAATGGCTCTATCACCAGCTGCATCACATGATCAATCTATTGCCCAGTCCTCAGCACCTGCAACCCCATCGGTTGATATCAGTGATACTAATGTTGGGGCAACTAGCCTGAGAATCACTGGATCTCAAGACCAGAATATAGATCTGGAGTGTGCATCAAAGACTCCTGCACAGACAGCTGAAGAAGATGAGTATGATCAGGTTAGCTCACTTCTTCCTTACCTTTCTGAATTCACATGGCCTTCACATGCAAGATTCTGAACACCTGTCGTTTAAAATAGGATGGTGATGATCTTCCTCTGTCACAGATGTGCACTGGTGTTGCTACTAAAACTAGCACCTCTAAAGCATATAAGAAAAGGTAAAACCACATCATTTTTGGTCCATTAGATTGTTTCCACTCTGCTTTAAAAATGCATTGACTTTGAGTCCCATTAGACCAAGGCCATCTCCTGTCACAGGGGCTGCGAAGAAGCTCTTCAAGGACACAGATGATGAGGGTGCTGGTGGCAGGTATTGTTAACAACCCTTTCAAAATGCACAGCAAGTTTCTATGGTGTCTGTCTAACCAATTTTCATTTATTTGCAGTCGTTCCACCAGGGCATAATCCAAGCAGAGTAGCAGTACACCATTATTTTGGGTTCAAACAGTTCTTAAGCACTTCAACATTTGCATCACCTGGCTCAGGCATCTGCGGCTATCCTGGCCCTGTAACTGCAGAAGAGAAGCAAGGAGATCGCCGATGTTGTCATAGTGCTCCTAGAAACTGTGCCTTTATTAAGCTTGAAGGATGCTTATGAAAGCATTTGTTATAGCCTTATGTCTTTTGCTTAAACCTACCGATGATCGCCATGCAGTTATACAGCTAGGATTCGGCATTATCATGACATATCATGATAATCCTGAATACTGGCAGGTTTCGCCAGTCATTCTGTAATGGCACCTAATTCCGGCCTAGGCATATTTGTGCAAGACCTATAATGCATCCTCTTCAATTACTATTGCTAATGTCTACATGTATGGCTAGACGCTGATTGGCATCTTTTTCCACTGTGATTTCCATCGCCATCCTTCAGAAAATCAATCAGGGTTAACTTTTAAGCCATGAACTCGACCAAACACAGTTAACTCCCAAACAAAGAAAACATAACATATCCGTTCCATACCTATATCGAACCAACCAGAATACAGTACATAACACACGCAATAGAACAACCGTGCATTGAATTTTACTCAGGGAAAAAAACTTGACTTCGAAAAGACACAGAAAAGACATCAAAAAATAAAGCTACGATACGTGCTACATTAATCCCTTCCATCTACTCATCTCACTTCTTTCAATAGCCATCTTCTTCCTTCTGTTTCTCTGCCTCCAACTCAAGAACAGAGAACTCCTCGGCATCATCTCTGACCTTCAATCTTCCAGGCAAGAACTTCTTCCTTCCTTTTTTTTTTGCCTAATCACCCTTTCAAGCCTCCCTATTTTGATAATATTTCTGTTCCTGTCCAATGAAAATAGACCAGATCTCGGTAGAAACAGTTACCATTTTCCAAATCTGAATCTAGAAACAAAGAGCACCACCCACATTTCAAACAAACCACCAGCCCAGATTATATTTCCTATGTTCAGCGATAGTGCATTCACAAGTGTTTTCTACATTGCTTCTTCCAGCAGCATGCAGGTTGGTCAGAACAACCGACTCACCCGACAGATCAAAACACCATCGTCCTATGGAAGAAACCGACCGTTAGTGGCAACAAAGTTTTCAAAACGACAAGAAATTTCACAGCTACTAGCGGATATCATATATTAGCGCGCTGTGGTCGTTAGAGTACTTGGTGCTGGCAATCCAACAACAACCCAAATATCAGCCATGCTTGGTTTTGTGTGCAATTGCCAGGTTGATGATTTTGCACTGCTACCGTTTAAGCGTCGTATGTACATTGCACTTTTTTTGGATGCAGACCAGCAACACGAATTGTCCCAGAAAGCATTTGATCAAGGATCGTACACATTCAAAACAACAAAGCTTGAATTTCAACCTTTCAAAATGAATTTACACAGCACTCCCAATCCACTACGTCAAAGGGTCATCCTTGCTATGGAAGGAGTGCCACCAGAATCATGGAACAAGCCAGCTATAACAGAACTCTTGGACAATTGTTGTATCGTTGAAGAGCTATATGGAGAGCACCATATAAATGACCTTTCAATTTTCAAGCTAGCTGCATGGACAAGAGACTGCGATCTCATCCCTAAGATAATTGACTGGAGCATTGAAACAGACGAAGAAGAACATCAGGCAAGTGATCCCGGTTGTGGACAAAACACAGCTTTATCAGTGATTTTAATACACATCGAGAAGTTATTTGATTACAACATTGAAAACGGTGGGAGCCAGAACGACAAAGAAAATCCTCGGCTACTAGTCATAAAAACATTCCAATGGGTATCCTATCACATAGACTCCGATAATGGACCAATTGAAGGAGGATCGCCGTCGGAGGCAGCAAACAATCTTCATATCTAGCTTCATTCACATCCGAGGCTTCATGTGCCTCCCGACGATACCATGTATGATTAGGTTTATGTATCCTCAACACTCAGTTAGCATGTACGATTAATGCTTTGGCTATGTATCTCTAATGTTATTTACTTTACCTGGAGCGTTGTTCAGTGTCACCATATAATCATGCATATATTACAATGTTCTTAATGAGCGTTGGGGCGCCGCGAAGCACGCCATTAGTCCTAGTACTACCAATATAAACGATCCAATGGTGTAGGTTGATTTGCACCCGTTTGTATTTTCTTTTTCTCCCCCCAATTGCTTGCCGCAATGCAGATCACTCCAAATGTGCATATAAGAATATTTTTTTCCCATTCGTTTTTTATTGCACGGCTCAATTATCATAGGCAATTCAGGTTGATGTAGTAATTGTAAGCGAATCATGTGGATAAAATCGGCCTTTACTGAAACTGCACCTGGAGGGGCCGGGGTTTAATTCCTCGAACCATCCCTGTTCTGTAATTTCTTCCCCTCAATGGGACAATTCAACAAAACAATAGGCGAGGCGGAGGCCATGTCTATTGTACGGCGGCGGCGGCGGCGGCGGCGGCGAGCTCTTTTGCATGTGGCCGGCGACGAGGAGTACTACACGGGGAAGGAGAACGGAGTCGCCGGCGGGTGGGCTGGAGGAATGCAGATGGATCACGGGCTATTTGATGAATTTTGGACCGAAATCACGGTGGGCCTGCTACCATTAGTTGCAGTGATTTTGGAGGCCCGTTTGGGGCAGAATTAGTAATGATGGCCCATTCTTGGATAACGGGAAGCTGTGACCTTTCTTTTTTTTCCTCAAAAAACCAAAAAAACTCATGCATTTATTCAATATTATACAGGAAGTTCACATACAGATTACGGGCTTGTTAATTTTGTTGCTTTTTTCAACCTTACCAATATTTGGTGTTACTAAAATTTAGTATGTTTTCATGTTACCAAATTTTTTCGTATTGGATGCATTTAGTTTAAAGTCTTACCAAATATTAATATAGTTTTTGAGAGTGGAAACTTATGGATTTTTCAAATTTGATATGAAAGCGATGGAAAGAATGTGTTTGGTTTGTTGTGTTTCCAAAGGGTCTGTTCGCGACAACTTTTTTGCAGCTGCGCAGCTGCAGCTGTTACAATGACTACATTGTTTCTACACACTGATACTGTTGGTGTAGTTACAGCTGCTGCAGCAGCAATCTGCACCGAGCAGGACCAAAATTTGGTAATGTCAAATTTTAACAAAATAAAAAATGGTATCAAAGTGAAGTTCATATCTCTCAAAGAAAGAGAGATTAGGATGCTCACGAGTTGCAAAAAAGAACCCCTCAAAGAAAGACAAATTACACAAAGGCCATTAAATATATGCTAAGAATTCTAAAAGAAAATAGAAAAGCAACGTAATCCTTACTTTGCTTCTTTCAATCCGGTGAACCAAACGATGAAGCCGCCGTTGCCGACAATGAAAACGAGGTTGACCGCAAAAGATGACATCCAACTGCAAACCCAACAAGGGCCTCACGAAAGCAGAGGTTGAAGCAGACTTGATGAACATGAGAAGATCCCGTCTAACCTTCAAGATGCTCCGTTGGATTGGATACAATGAAGGTCACCAAATCAATAGCAGCAACGTCGCTAGAGAGGATTTGAGCGGCCGACACCACCTCGTTGTTATGGAAGGAGAAGGCCTCCCACCACAAGACAAATCTATCGCACTTGTCGACCCAAACACCAGTGAAAAACCCCATAACAATCACCCAGACAGCATGAGCCATGGAGAGAGGCATCTGGGACGAATAAGACCGACGTCGGCATCTCCTTTGAGATGTAGGAAAAAAACAAGGAAAGAAGAAAGCCATGAATGAGATAAACCCATTATATAGCAGGATGAACCCGACAAATCCTTGGATCTCCACTCTAAAAAAAACTCGAATATTAGAGAAGGGCCTAATATCAAATAATTAGAAGGGGTGAGGCTTTTAACCCAGATCGTCTAGTCCACCACTGTCGACGTTTGATGTCGCGATTCCGATATTTGCATGGTATGGGGATCGTTGGTACTAGGATATACGCAAAACTGAGGTAAAAGAGATGGAGACGAGGATTTTTATACAGGTTCGGCCCCTTGAATTGTCAGGTAATAACCCTACATCCTGTTGGCCAAAGCCGGTCGTTGCTCTTATTCACCATAATCATACCAGTATAATATATGGGTAGCCTATCTAACTGTTGTCGACATGGCGGTCTGAAGTTCTAACTCGTAGTCGACAACAGGGTAGTCTTCCTCCTCGAATCCGTGCCCGGTGAGATCAGAGATAGCGCTTTCGTCTCTCCTGACAGTATCCGAAGACACCGTAGGGGACTAGCCGTGCTTATCCCTGAAGTCGATATCCGGCGTCTTATCTTGGCGTATGTTGGCTTGTATGTTGTGGCTTCTATTGTTCCGTAGATTGTGGTGGGTGTCGATTGAGGTGGTCCTCCCCTCTCCTCCTAGGGGGTCTTGTATTTATACTCATAGGTGTCCCCTTGTCCAAATAGAACTAGGGAAACCAATATGGATACAATCCGAGCAGTGCTTGTCGTTTCCATGTAGAACTCTGGTTGTCTTTCCTTATCTGGAACTCCCTCCATATCCGAGGTCAATTTCCGTATAAGACATGGTATGTGGTGGGTCCTGCTGAGATGTAGTCGACTATTATTAGGTATGTGGTATCCATAACCCTGACAACCATCTTATGGAGCTAGCCGGAAGACCCCTGGACATTTCTCTGGATCTCCACTCTCACCCCCTCGCTGGCGACCGGAGAGGAAATGGACTCCGGCAGAGAAAGAAGAATCGTCTTTGTTTTCGGTTTTCACCGCCCATAGATAAATGTATTTTAAAAAGTTGAAAATTGCGCCATTCAGAAATCCCGCTGAATGAAATTCCTTTCAAAAAGCTTTGTTTTTTCAACTCTGATTTGGTGAAAAACCTCCTCCGTTTTCCACAACTCTGATTGTTTTTTGTTTTGAAATATTATCCAACTCTGTTTCTATAATACTAGCTCCATATTTCTTCTCGTCTCAGTTGGGGGGAAATCGACGTTCACGAAGTTGATGCAGAGAACAGACTAGTTAACTCCTGTTGTCGAACGAAAAATTCCGGAGGGGTTCGGAGTAAGTCTCCGACCCTCCCCCTTTTTTTTTTATTTTCCTTTTCCCCATCCAATCACCACAATACAAATCACTCCAAATGGGCATACACGATTTGTTTTTTCATTCGTTTTTTATTGGCAATTCAAAATGATGCCGTAATTGCAAGCGAAGCGATGTGGATGAAATCGGCCTTACCTAGTGACCATTCATATGCACCCATTGCAGTAGACTCTCTTTTCCTGAATTTTGGGCCACTTGAAGTGAAGACCAGCCCAGCTGAGCTTGTATCGAATCAGCGGAAAAATGGATTCACATGATTCTACATGGCATTGGGGATTTGGGGAGAAGGGGTTAGTAACATGCACAGGTCAGGTTACATATTGATGGGAATTGACACCAGCCTAGAAAAAAAATCTGTTATCCGTGTGACTCTGTCTCAGTAAAATTCAGACCCTGGAGTGGTCGGGGTTTAGTTCTCCGAACCCCCTCCCCCTCTGTTCTTCCTTTTTTTCCCTTAGTTTTTTTTTCTATTGTACGACGATGCCGCCGGCGGCGAGGTTTTTTTGCGTCCTTGCGTGTGGCCGGCGACGAGGAGTACTGTGCGGCGAAGGAGGCTCCGGCCGGAAGGTGGGCCGGAGGCATGCAGGTGGCTCACGGCCCTTTTCGCCGAAGTCTGGTCCGAAATCGATTCACGGAAGGCCCACCATTAGTTCTGGTGGTTGTACGTGTTGAAGCTTGAAGTAAAAAGTCCATTATTATTCCCTCAACTATAGGATGAATCTGATTCCCATATCCCTTAACTTGGATATATCGTCTTCCTCACATATTAAAATCAGTGCAAAATAAGATTTTCTTTTTGCTTTTTAACCTTTTATTTTAATTTTTTAAATATTTTTTCCCAAACATATTTTTAAATCTAAACATTTTGGCCATGCCACAGGACTGACGTGAGAAACAATGACATCGTTATTTCACCATACCACTCTGGCTAGCATGGTAGTATAAAATTATCACATTCATCACGAGTGGTGTGGTAGGGTTGTTTTATAATGTCAAGCAGGATGGCTTAGTCAAAAGTTCCAGATTTTGAAAATAAGTATTGGAAGGGTTTATTTTTAAAATTTAAAAGGTTTAAAAAACAACAACAATAATAATTTCATAAAATGACTCCTTCGACTATTTTGAACATGATTTTGACCGACGTGGTAGCCAGTTATGCTAGTACTTTATTAACCAGATTACCAGAATAAAAACTCCAAAACTACGCGGAAAACGACCTGGCTAAAGATGAAGTTATTTGCCCTGCCTGACGCGATCGCTTGCTGGACATCGAGTCCACAAGTGGACATGTGAGGATGAAATGGCCATGGAGATCGTTGCCAGCGTGATGGAGAGCCTTCTTCTAGGAGATCCCTCCATGGAGCGGCTGCGCCTCTTCATGCTCGGGTACGAGGTTTAGAGAGAGAAAGAGGGGGTTTATAGAGGAGAAAGAAGACGAAGATTAGTCACTTTTACATGTGGCTCTCATATCTATTCTTTTGGTTTTTGCTATACATCACCAGCGTGTTTTCCCCCAAATCGCACTAGAATTCCTAGCCTTTGGATGGACATCAAGATTCGTATAATGTTATCGGGCCCGCAACCTTTGTCGGGTTAGGATCCCTTTTGTGTCGACCCGCTTTCGACCAAACCCGATCCAAACACGATATCGCGATATTTCCGACACAGGCGGGGATTTTTTTTATTTCAAACAGTGCTACCCACTCTCAGCGCCACACCTCGATGTCGTCAAGGCGAGGGGGCGAATCCGACGGCGGCGATTCTCCTCGCCGGCGGGAGGAGGCCAAGAGCACGACTCCTCGGCTGCAGCCGGGCGCAGCCGGCGGGCGCAGTGTGGCGCCCTCCGCTGAGATGTCATCGAGGGGATGGGGTGAATCTGGCGGCGACGATTCGCTTCGGCTGCAGGGGGATTCCAGCTCGCGCAAAATGGCTAAAAGCCGGCCGGACAACATCGCTGCAGCCAGGCTCAGCCAGCGAGCATGTTGCGGCGTCCTCCGCCGCCGCCGTGGAGACAGGCTTGGAGTTCAGCAAGGTTGACGGCGAGGCGCACGCACCCGCTCCCCTGTGCTTGGCAAGGCACCAACAGTTGTTCTGTGTTCATCAAGCAAGGATGCGCTGAATCGCATTGCAGTTGCTGGTGGTCTTGATTTGGATCCAAAAAGGTCAGGCGTCGAGATCCAAAAAAGCAAGGTGATCATGTGTTATTTCGTATGTGTTTTGCCGCTGATTTGCTGATTCAATCTTATTGCTCTTCTTCTTGATCTGTGTATTTGTTTAATGTATTAATGCTCCAAAAAAATAGGTTGGGGGATTAGATCTGTTGGTTGGGAATGGATTTTTTTTTTCTACACGAAGGCTGTCTGGATGTTGGTTGACACTGGGGACAAGATCTTGTGATGACAGTTCTGTTTTTAGGATTATTTTCATGATTTAACTTTGTTAGGTTAGCAATTGTTGACAGCATCTTCTTTGGAGTGTCAGTATTTTCTACGTAGCTCAGTTCTTAATTACGTATAAATGCATTTCAGTATTAATTTCGTTTCTTATTGCAGTCCTCAAAATTTTCAGTGGGTATTTAAGCACCAATACCAGGGGTTTTAGAGCAACAACATTTTTAGATCAGATTGGAGTTACAATTTAACGGGAGTTCCATGAATGGAAATAGTTTTGTATGCAAGAATCTAATTAGTAGTAATACTGCACTGTCTTTTCGGTTACATCTGTATTTAAAATTTTCAAAAAGAACACTTTATGGCTATAAAGGAAACTAAAATAAATCCTTATCTACTAAGCATGTTATGTAATAATTGATTTTATCAACTCTTGCTAGGAAAGGATGTTCTGTTTTGCGGTAGTATAGGTTATGCTAATTTAATTTCCTTTGTAGTTTTGTTAGCAACAATGGATGCCTGCTCCTTGTCTTTCTGATCTTTTTCTTTTCCAGGGACTCTTGTCCAAATTTTTTTAACTCTCCTCTTTTGGATTTTGTGGAGCATGAGAACTAGAATTAAGATCCAGATTTTCTTTTCTGCTCAACCTGAATACATTTGTTCCTGATTTGCATCCTCTTCCCACAACCATTTTGCGGAGGACTTTTTCTTTGTATTGTTCAGGGGGGATGTGGGTTACATGCAGGTACAAATTTGTATAAAGAGTTTATTAGTTTAGTTTTATCTTTACTAGCTGGAATATATTGAAATGAAATCTGCCTAGTTCTGAATTTGGCCTAGTGTAGTTGTAGAGGGTAATTCCGATGAGGAATTGGGTATGCCCCACAAGGAGGTTGGTATTGTCCTGACGATGGCATGTAGCCTTGTGGAGGGCACTGTTGGTTAGGAGGATACCCATTGTTGCTCTCACCATGCATGTCCTTGCTTGCAAAGTAATATATTAATTTTGTCAGCCATTAGTTAGATAAAGCTATATAGTTTTAACTAAATTTGGTAAAACTACAATATTTCTGTTGGGTGATCTACTAGTGTGTTGGGTGATCACTAGTGTGCATTAGTTCTGTTATAGTTAGGTAAAAGGTATGATTGCATTTAACAAACATAGTTTTGTAAGAAAAGAGATTAGTTTTGTTTGCTATTAGAATTTATAGTTTTGTTAGTTCAGTCAGAAATACTTTAACCTCTACTTTCAAGTTCTGTCAGAAATACAACAATTAGAAGTTTTGTTAGCCATTAGAATTCCTAGTTTTGCTAGTTCAGTCATAAATACTTTAACCTCTACTTTCAAGTTTTGTCAGAAATATTGCAATTAGTAGTTTTGTTTGCCATTAGAATTCCTAGTTTTGTTAGTTCAGTCAGAAATACTTTAACCTCTACTTTCAAGTTCTGTCAGAAATACAACAATTAGTAGTTTTGTTAGCCATTAGAATTCCTAGTTTTGCTAGTTCAATCAGAAATACTTTAACCTCTACTTTCAAGTTTTGTCAGAAATATTGCAATTAGTAGTTTTGTTTGCCATTAGAATTCCTAGTTTTGTTAGTTCAAAATGGGTATTAGTTCTGCTTTGTCAGCAATTAGTTTTGCGGAGTTCTTCTGCTTGCTTCTTCTATCTATCTTGTTGGACTACATACATAGTTAGTTAGCTGAAATGACATTTGGTTAGCTTTGTCTTGATCCCTTCTTTGCTAGAAAAGACATGTTTCTACAAATCTATAGTGATTTATGTATGCACACTATAGGTCTGTTCTGTAATTTTAATATTCTCACTGATATACTGACAGCTAGAACCTTTCCTTTTTTTCCAGCAAATAATCAATCCGCAATGGGGGGCAGGGTGATCAATGATGTGTTCAGCTTTTTGACTAGTGACAGAAGTACATATATATGTATTCAGATATAGGTCCTACAACATGCTAACAATTTTAGATATCTGTGCACTTAGTTTTGTTAAAAGCTCAGATAGCAGAGGCACAGATCTCACATTCAGATGTCACTATGTTTAATTACTGCTCTTACTCTAGTCAAGATGCAGGGGCAAGATTAAATGTTTCATACCAAGCAAATGCAAGTTTTGTTGTGACATCCTGCAGCAACCTAGTTTAATGTTTCATACTATGTTTAATTCCTAGTTATTTTACTAGTTTTAATTTGTTAGAGTAAGAGCAAAATCTGCATGCTCCAAGACTAACAGGAAGCTATTTATTTGTCAATCTGCAGAACCCCATGCTCCACTACTATTCATCTACATTGTCAAATTAGATTGATATTTTCTATCAATCAGGCACAACCCAGTGGGTCAATTCAGTTTGGGATCAAATTAGAAAGGGGGGGGGGGGGAAACTAATCACATATTTGAAGTACCAAGAACCATGGGACGAGACTTTTTGGACTCAAATCAATCCAGATTTTGGAAGAGGCAAGTATTTTCATACCTTGGTCTGCATCCATCATCTTTAGTTCATGCAATTCTCTCTTGGATCTCCAAGCCTTCTTCCATCCCCTTCTTTTTTTCCTTCTGCGAGCAAGGAGCTCCTGACCTGCTCCCGATCTCCCTCACTTTTTTTCTTTCTTGGCTAGCAAGAAGCTCCCTTTTTTTCTTTTTTTTACAAGTGTTTTGATTTTCTGTGCTAAGTTCTGGGCCATGTTTCAGCTGTGACGGCTCCAATACTAAAAGGCTGTGGGCTTTTTTAACCTTTTTTTCCTGTGCCCTATACGGGGCCAAATGTTAGCCTAGGTCTCAACAATGGGCTAAAAGCTGGCCCAAAACAAAACGGGTTTGGGAGACAGATTCGACAAAAAAAAACAGATTGCTGGGACAAAACAAAACATGCACCCGTGCGCTCACTCGCGGGGGGATCGCGTGGGCTCGCTGGTGGGATCACGCGCATCGGATGGTCAGGGATTCTAGTGCATTTACATAATTTATCACCCTAGTGACACATAGACAGTCCCATTCTTTTAATCTGTTTGGTGACTGGACAGTCATATCAATCTAAACCACCTTCAAAATAGTCAAAGGAGTCGTTTTGCACTGGATTTAATAGTTGAGATATATGATATATCTAGTTTTTTAGGTGAGGGATGAGAATCGGATTCATCTAATAGTTGAGGGAAGTTCAATGGACTTTTCTATGCTTGAAAGGTTTTTCCAGAGGCCCGCTCGGAGCGGAGCCCATTTTCTGGATAACGGTGGAGCAATGGACTAATGCAGCCATATCTCCTCCTCTCCTCTGCGTGACTAGTACAGCTTTTGGTTTAGATTATGAGAAGCTGTAGTTGTAGAATGTAGAAAATGAACTAGAAGCTAGAAGCTGATAAACCTAGTTTTTTCAGATTTTCATAAGCTGGCTACCAACCAGCTGTTTCTCAGAATCTTAATCTTCCCCAAACAGACCGCTCTATACACATCTGCTAGCCTCATATGTTGTTTGTTTGAGGATGGTGACTCTACTCCAAATGCATGTTGACAACATGTATTTCGTATATGCATCAAAATCAATCTGATATTTTGTCCGTTACATCAAAACTGCATATGCACTTCATGCAATTTTAGTTTTACGCACACCAACAATATTAGTTTTAAACTAATTTAGTATTTAAGATGGTAGTATTAGACTTTTAATACTAATAATTTAAAACTTTAACTAAATCGATGATCGAACGGAGTACATCACTTGCGTTTCATCTAAATCTACTTAAAACCCATTGGACCATACTCATCCTCCTACGCAGGCATGCAACCCGGATCCGGCTCCTCTGACTTTGAGTGAAAACGATATAGGCGGCGCACAGTGATTTGTGTCTTGCGCTACAGTACAAAACAGTTCCTCTACAGTAATCACTATAGCAACAGTAGAAAAACAGTAGAGGAAAACTGTTCGTATATCACTGTAGCGATCAATCTCGTTCGTTCGCTGCAGATCGGACGGTTAAAAATACCACAAAGTTAGAGAACTGTGCGCCTCTGACGTTTTTTCCCAACGTCAGAGGATCTCATTCCATGCAACCCCATCCCCCCACCACTCTATAGTGGGGTTTCTTTCTTAGGTGCTCTTTGCTTGTGCTGTCATTCTCCTATGATTTCAATGGCTCCTATAGTCTTATATATTTATAACCATTGTGATTTCCCTTACACTCATTGTCATTAGCCACCACCATCACCTATGATTCCCATTCTTGGGCTACGAAGTTTCATGTAGCTTCTTGTTGGCCTGGCAGCAACCTGTCCGGTGCTAGTTTTCTACTTGGTTGTGTGTAGATGTTGTCAGTGCGTAATGGTTGTTTTTTTATTTCTTTCCTGACTACTGCCTTCCAAGGTTCTAGTATTGTAATTTTTCTACTCCATTCAATAAATCTTTGTGTCGTCTGGTGCTAATCGTTAAAAAAAAATCACCCCAAATCTAAATATAGGGTTGTTACAATCCCTGAAGAAAGCGGAGAGAAACAACACGAATCCTTCTTTGCCGATCCAATGGAGAGGAAACCGATTCAGAGAAAAAATGACTCTAAATTGTCTTGCCCCAATTTTAGCTAAATCATTTGAAAGAAACACTGAAAAAAAAAGCAGGGGACTGCAGGCAAGTAGTGATAAGAGGTATGAGGAAAAGGGGTTTTCAAAAAGCTAGTGAGACGTGCCTGTCTGAAAATAACATTCCTCTGCCTCTTTACGCTGGTCAATTTTTGCCTGTCACGTTGCTGGTGTTGCCATACATCCAGAAAGGCATTAATTAAGAGCTCAACTTACTTCAGTTTCTAGCTTCAACCAAGAGTATATTCAGTGCGTAAATCATATTCACAGTTTCTTTTTTCAAACAGGGTCATTGTCATAATCATTCGTGAGAAATTTCAACACCCAAAAGGTGCAAAGTTCCCGTCGTTATTGACTCGATCAAAAAGATCAATAATTCAGTATATTTAAAAAATCTTATGTTTTATGGATAAAGTTACAGTGAGCTATAATTATTATAATCTATATGACAGGGTTTCATAGCTTATTCAAATCTCAAGTAAACAAGCCAAGAGCATGTGCATTACAATGGAAAAAAAAGTTTCTAATAACTCATTAAATCGATTAAACATATATTTAGTCCAGGTGATACTTTTATGATTTTCCTTATTAAACAAGTAGGTGATTTTGAAATTTGCAAAAAAAAACAGCATTAAAACGGGAGAGAACTCGTTAAAGAGTAGGGCCTGACTAATAAGACCCATTTATTAAGTCGATAATGGTGGTGTCATAGTATAGATTTGTGATCCAATTATAAGTGATAGGGATGGTGTGGCAGCATGATCACCACCACCATTAACATTTTAAGTATTATAGATTTAATACATATTAATCAATATTTTTAAAACAGAAAGAATTAAGCCAAACCAATACTGCTATAAATTTTAGTTATGGCTGATAAGCTAATAAACAAACGGAGGATGAGAGACATGTCCTCCCTCCTCCGGACCAAATGTGGGTCTTGATGCTTGTAGCACTTGCTACGCACTCATGCTGCTTCATCTTTGTGGCTGCATTTTATGGTCCTCACCTTTAGGCCAGCCGACCTCTTTTTTCGTCGTGCACCGTTCATTCCCGCATCATTAACAACTTCAGCAACTTTGTTCTTGCTAGAAGCAAAAGTACAATATATACTTCACCATGATATATTTATTCAGCAACTTTGGTCTCGCTAGAAGCAAAAGTACAATGGCACCATCAATATTTCCATCATCCGGCTGCATACATATATTCCTTCCGTCTACTATTGCGTCACAGCCACGTATAAAGCACTGAGACGAGAAGAGAGGAAATTAGAAGATTGAGAAGGTATACAAAACGAGGTGGATCAAGATTATTTTAAACTTAAGAAAATAGATTAATATATATTTTTTAAAAGTAATTTTTTTTATAGAAAATTTGTATCGTTCGATCGTTCGTTAAGCGTTTTCTCTATGCTGTTCAAACGAACGCTGCAAATCTCCTCTGTTTTTCATGCACAACCGGAGAGCAATGGCAGTATGTACCAACTAAAAAGCTCTTTGAAATTAAAACGAGAAGTTCTTTTGTTTGTTCCTACGATCAATGCATCGTTCAAAATTAAGATGCAGTGGTTGGCAGTTGAGCGTTTCAGTGTCCTGATTTTCTTCAGAAGGATGATCAATACGATTCGATCGACGAATGTCCATTGCAGATGGCAAATTAAGCAGTGGCACCCAACCATCGATGTTGTAGCTAAGTGGTGTAGCTCAGTAGGAATTAGGAAACGATTGCTTTCAGCACTGAACCATGGTATACACGCAAGATGCAACCAAGTCCATTTCACCATCCATCCACTGATCACTGAACACTGATGGCCTCACTTCACCTCGCCAGAGCATGCTACCACGGACATCCATGCTGCTTACTGCTCCGTACCATTCTAAAATATAAGTATTTCAACGTTGTTTAGCGAATACTAAGATTAAGGGAAGAGATTTTATTTCAGTCACCTCAATGGTTAAAATTTTAATTTTTGAATAGCTTAGATTTCCCTATCCAAGTACCCGATTGGCTATGAATTTTCATGTATTGAAATCGGTGTACCAGAACTCCATACTACAAATTTTAAGTCCTGAAAATACTTATATCTTATAAAGGAAGGATTACTTGTTTACTTAGCTTAATTTCTCCCTGCTCCATGCAGATCAAAGCATAATTTATCTTCGCTTTTACAAATCCAAGCTTAATGTATGCATATGGATGCCTTTTCTTCCTAGAAAGATTTGGATCTCATTTATTAATTTGGGCAGTGATCCATCTACATTGCTGCCTAAACTAAAGGCAACCTCACCCAAACACCAAAGCAACCGAATCCTTATCATCATCTTTTCTTTGCAGGAAACATGCATGCATGGCACACACGCCCACACGGACACCACTAGCAGCATCACATCCATCATGTAACAATGCTTTATAATTTTCATGAGAGCAGCTTAATTCAGAAAAAAAAAATGTCTACATGCTTTGTGAGAAAGATGCATATATGAATGATTCTTTGTCTACTGTAAATTAACCTGCATTCTTTTCCACAAAGTCGCTTTCCTTGTGTGCTATTCCCTTTGCTTAATTGCTAATTATTACTAGAAAAATGGGGGCAAGGATGGGGAAGATTATTCAAATGATTCCCAAGGTCAGAGTTACAATATTTTTTTTCCCACAGAATAGATGCTTCTACATGTGAATGCCAGATCATGCACTGGCAAATTATTAGCACACAGGAACCCAAAAAATAAATAATATAAAATGGTTGCCACATGTTAGTAACACTTGTTTCTTGAGATGGAATTAAACAAGTTGGTCCATGCATGTGAAGACCCCAGAGAGTGAGACTAAGCAACTACAGCTTGGACTTAATTGGGATCACAAACACACAAAACAAACAGTCCAAAGTGTACTTTCCCTTCACCAAATCTCACATTTCAAGTGGTGCCTTGGATCTGGTTGTTGCCAACAAACAAACATGCATACATAATTCCAAAAAAGCCAGTTGATCCAACACCCCTAATTTGCATGATCAAAATGAGCTATCACCAACATCACTCCAAAAAGAAATGCATGACCACATGAAAAAAAGAGAGAGGTAGAATTAAAATAAAAATACAGAATTTGACAAATAACTAAACATGCATTTCTCCTTAATTAAGACAAAAAAAGGATTATTAACAATTAAGCTAATAATCAAGAGAGCATTATAATTAACCATACCATTAATCCTACTTAAATTGCCTCTCCACCTCCTTTACATTTTGTAACCCACATAATAATTCATTATTACCACCATCATCTCTTTTTCACTATGGACGCACAAGAACACCACCACCTCCAAGAAATCAAACCTACCTCGCCGGCGACTAGCCGGAGATAGCAGATTCCGGCGGCGGCGGTGGGCACAGTAGTAGATCATAACATAACTAGCTTAGCTAGACCTCGACGTGGCAGTAGGTGGTAGTCTGGAACCTGAAGCCGCTGGCGCCGGGGGAGCCATTGCCGCCGGCGGTGACGAGGAAGGCCGGGCAGGTGACGAAGAGGTGGTAGTGGCCGGAGATCCAGCTGCCGACCTTCCACCGGACGCGGCCGTCGATCTTGACCTGGAGGATGAGGTAGCCCGCCTGGCAATCCTGCGAGATGGCGTCGGCGAGGTAGGGCGCGAAGGGGACGCTGGGGCCGGCGAGCACCGGCGACCAGACGTCGACGTCGCCGTGGCCCTGGTACACCGGCGGGAGCGAGGCGGCGACGGTGATCTGCTGGTACTTGTAGGAGGCGTAGACGTCGAGGCGGTCGTAGTAGACGCCGACGCGGTCGTTGGGGTTGCGGGAGGCGACGGTGACCTGGATGGTGGTGGAGAGGACGCCGCCGGCGGTGGAGGAGGAGTTGGAGAGGTCGAGCTGGCGGAGGGTGGCGTCCTGGAGGTAGAAGCGAGGGTGGGTGGGGCGGAGGACGAGGTAGACGATGAGGGCGATGATGCCGACGAGGATGGCGAGGACGACGAGGACGGTGATGAATCGCCGGCATCCCTGCCGGAAGTCGTCGTCGCCGTGCTTGCCGCAATCCTTCCCCATGATGCTTCTAGCTTCTTGGTTTCTTGGTGGACTCTTCTCTTCTACTCTACACTAGTCTTTGCTTTGGTTTGGTTTGGTTTTGCTTGTAATCCTTTGCTTAATTTGAGCTTAGTGAGATGAGATGAGTGGAGAGGAGAGAGAAGAGGAAAGGTGGTGGTGGTGTTAGAGAGAGAGAGGGGGGAGTGGGGTAGATGAAGAAGATGATGGGGGAGGTGTAGAGATTATGTGGGGAAGAAGCTTCTTCTTCTTCTACTATGGTGGTTTTTTCTTTTTCTTTTTCTTTGGTTGTGGCTGCCGGCGCCGTACGTGTACGTGTATGCGCGTCAAGGTTAGGTGTTGCATCCAATTTCACTTTATGATGATGATTTCATTGAGGAAATCCATTCAGAGATTGGGAGATTTAGGATTTATGGAGACTTTGAGAAGAAATGAATTAATTGCTTTCTTTTAAACATCTTGTAACATTTTTGTGTTCGAAAGTAGCCATACAAGGGGGAAAGCGCCGAAACACAACTTCGTAAAATATTATGTTGAATCGACTCTAAACTTGTACGGTACTCCGTAATTACTGCTTATGATTTTGACATTGGTATGTTCCTTTGTAAAATATTATGTTGAACCGGCCCTGAACTTGTACGGTACTCCTTAATTACTGCTTATGATTTTGACATTGGTATGTCCTTTAAAAGTAATTTTTATCTACTCTATTCGTTCTATAAAAAACAAACATAGTACTACAACGGAAGGAATACTACACAATAATACACAATAATATGTTTACAAAAACAATAATAATAATAATGTTAAATCACGGGAGCAATTTTTGGGATATATATATATATATATATATATATATATATATATATATATATATATATATATATATATATATGCCAAATTTCCATATATCCAATCAATTCTATTTTTCGAATATGGTATTCAAAACCTTTTAAATTGTGAGTATTTTTACATCAGAAGATATATAGTTGGGCTACGAAAAGTTGCTAAAAGTAGGTCAAGGAGCAAGTGATTTTTCTACCTGCTTTAGGTGAATCGTTAGACCAATCAATCAACCCTACTTGGAGCTTTCTACTTGGTAATCAACCATAAAACCTGGCTTGTTCATGACATACACTAATATTAGGATGCCACTGTCTCAGTCAATATGTTCCTAGAGTATTTATTTTCTAGTGGTTGAGATGAAGCCTACTTGACACCTCTCACTTGCGATGGAATGCCAAATCCTATAAAAAAAACTGGCTTTTTATTCGTGGCCCCGGAGAGAAGAACACAAAGGATGGATGATATTCTGCTGGTAGAAGCTAACAACTTGGCTTTGATGATATTAATCATCAACGTGATGAACATGCCCCCGTTAGGTGTTTTAAGACTCCAGTAGCTAGCTCCCAAAGAAAAAAGATCCAAAATTGTGCCAAAAATCATGCATATCTTCTTGGGGAAGCACACAAACAGTAGGTTTGCTTGAGATCACAGCAATATAGACCATGCTATATATCACGTAGTATAACTACTAGTCTACTATAATCAATTAATCCCGAGAAGCCGGCCAAATCCTAATCACGCATCACTACGACATGTGGTACATTAAAATGGACCTTTAATTCCCTATGCACTGAATATATGTTGAGTGTAGCATTTCATATTTTTGCCTTTTGCCACTTCGCATTTTCAATGGCCTGGGTTGGCTTTCAGAGTTTCAGAGCTGATCAGTACTACAATAGTGGCTAGCTTTAGCAGTTTGTGACTTTGCTGTTCGTTGGGTTAGGATGGAAAATTCTAGGGCGCTTTCCTTAGCCTGGAATCCGATTCGATCTTCATCCTACTTTCATCAGCCTTTCAGTCGCTTCTCCTTTCCTTCCTTTTCTAAATAATGGAAATGGGTTATATCTCCGGCCTCTGTCCGTAGGCACACAGCCAAAAAGTCCAGAAATGAATAGAAAAGAGCTTAAAAAAAGGTGAGATGGGACAAATCCCCAACTTCTGCCGATAATATGATATACTAAAATCATGTTTTTTAAAATCACATAGATTCTATCACGGAATTTTGTAGGTACTACACCATCCAGACTGGAGTAAAAGTTCCTTGGCTACCAATTCCAAGCGTGTAGCACCATTGCGCATAGTATCATGTTTTTCCTGTAAAAGCATCATACACCAAGAGTGGAGCCAATTGGAACACATGAAGATAACCTGCATGATGTTAGGCATTTTTTTAGGGTTAAAAAACATATCATTACGGCAACGCCAAATTGACCAACATAGAGCACTAGCTCTAAATAAAATCATTTTTTTTGGGTCTAGGCACTCCCCTTAGCCAGTTACCAAAAATATCTTTTGCATTGTGGGGAGGGAGAATATTGAAGGCAAAGAAGACACATCGCCAAGCAAAACGTGCAACATGACAGTCAAAGAAAAGATGTTGGATGGTCTCTTGTGTATTACAAAAACAATATTGCTTGTTTCCCCTCCATTTTCTCTTTATGAGGTTATATTTCGTCAAGATTACTTTTTTGTGAAGAAACCACATAAATACTTTTATTTTTAGTGGTACCTTTACCTCCCATAAGATCCTCTTGTGGATTCTTACATTGAAATTGATGATCGCATTATACATAGATTTGACTGAAAAGTAGCCATTTTTATGTAGCGACCAAATAAAGCAATCATTTTCATTTGACAGGGTTATGTTAGCTAGTCGAGAAATCAAATTATTCTACTCAACTAACTTTGGTCCTACAATTGATCGTCGGAATGAAACATTCAACGGTGTTGTGCTCATAACCTCTGCCAAAGTAGAATGTCTCTTTCGAACCACATTGTACAGAGAACGATATTGATATTTGAGTGGTTGCAAGCCCAACCATGTGTCTTCCCAAAATCTTATTTCCATCCCATTACCAGGTTTAAAAGATCCATACTGAAAAAATTGATCTTTTACTTTCATTAGGCCAGCCCAAAATTAGGATGTTCCTGGTTTGTGTGACATGTGGGAGAGGGGTTTACCTTTTAAGTACTTGTTGCGCAAAAGGTTTTGCCATAGGCCATCACCATTAAGAAGCTTGAATAGCCATTTGCTCAACAAATATCTATTCATGATATCAAGATTTAGGACACCCAGTCCACCTTGATCTTTTGGCCGGCAAATATAATCACATTTTGTTAATATATATTTCTTTTTCTGGCTATCACTGCTCCAGAAAAAGCTTGATCGGTAGTAATCCAGTCTTTGAAGTACACCTCGAGGTATTTCAAAAAAGGATAACATGAACATGGGAAGGCTCGAAAGAACCGAGTTAAGAAGAACCAATCTCCCACCATAGGAGTTATTTTTGCCCTTCCATGTGCTAAGTTTTCTTTGAAACCTATCCTCCACACATTTCCAATCAGAATTTCTGAGTTTTCGATAGTGTATAGGGATTCCTAGATATCTGAATGGAAAGGAACCAGAATTACAACCAAACAGTTGTCTATATTGGTCCTCCATTTCCTTAGCTCCCCCAAAGCAGAAAATTTTACTTTTATGAAAGTTTATTTTCAGCCCCGAGAGATGTTCAAACACACAAAGAATGGCCTTCATGTTTTTTGCTTGTTCAAAATCATGTTCAAGAAATATTATTGTATCATCGGCATATTGGAGAATGGACAAACCATCATCCACTAAGTGTGGAATTACCCCTCTAATTTGGCCATCGGCTTTGGCTCTTTCAATAAGAATGGCTAACATATCAGCCACTATGTTAAAAAGAATTGGGGACATTGGATCCTCTTGTCTCAAGCCTTTGCATGTCCGAAATTTTTTTCCTACATTATCATTGACTTTGACACTTACATTTCCTCCTTCAACCCAGTTGGAAATCCAATTGCACCATGATTGTGAAAACCCTTTCATTCGTAATGTCTGATGTAGGAACTGCCATTTAACTTTGTCATAAGCCTTTTCAAAGTCAATTTTGAATATGATACCATCCATTTTCTTTGTGTGCAACTCATGGACAGTCTCATGCAAAATCACCACCCCTTCCATGATATTTCTATCTGGCAAAAACGCCGTTTGGGTTGGGCGAATGACTTTGTGAGCAACCGTTGTAATCCTATTGGTGCCAACTTTTGTAAAAATTTTAAAGCTAACATTCAGTAGGTAAATAGGCCTATATTGTTGAATTTGTTTTACATCAGTCTTTTTTGGCAGTAGCACAATGATCCCAAAGTTTAGGCTATAAAGGAGTAATGTCCCTTTATGAAATTCTCTGAATAGAGCCATGAGATCATTCTTAACGATCTCCCAAAAGACCTGATAAAACTCTGCAGGAAAGCCATCTGGACCTAGGGAGGAGTTATGATCCATTTGAAAAATTACCTCTTTGACTTCCTTTTCTGAAAATTTAGCAGTAAGGATGTCATTTTCCAGGTCGGACACTTGAGGAATATCATCAGTCCATCCCTCTGTCATGGATATATGATTATGATCTGGAGGACCAAATAAACCTTTATAATAATTGGTGATGTATTGTTTGAGATTCCCATCACCCGTTATTATAGTATCCTCTTGTTCCAATTGGAAAATCATCGTAGCAGTTTCCTGTGAGTGAGTGAGTGAGTGAGTGCGATCAGCACAACATGCATAGCTGAATTCAAGATCAACTCGCTCCAATCTTACACCCATGATCATAAGATTGTCGCAGGTTCAGAGCCCGTTTTCACGAATATCTTCTCTGAAATCACGATCTTTCGGTGCGCCACCAAACCAAATTCACCATTTTTTGGACGCTCCGTGCCAACCGTCGCAATCTCGTGTTCAACCTTCACAATACCCCTGTGATGGCGAAAGCATCAAGGAATCATGATGCCATAGCAACCAGACCAATGTTTTCAATTCTCAAAGCAACAGCTAACAGCAGGCTAGGCAGGCAGGCAGATTCTGCTAAACCTTCCATTGTGTTGTGGGCACCGCACACACAAAGACCAGATCTTCTTCCTACTCCAAATTGACCACCTACCAACCATGGTCCTTGATACCTGAATTCTGGCATGTTGTTCTATCATCAGCCAGCCCTCCTTCATAACTCACCTAAGCCACATGTCTCCAATAACAAAGCATGTTTTTTTTGCAAGAACTGGTGATAATCTTTGCTTACTTAACAGCTATACACCACATGACACTATTGAGCAAGACAAGAATTTGGAAAGGGCGGTGAGGCGATCCAGATCATCCTGCAGTTTGTTACATTGTAATGTTTGCAAACAAATTAAAATACTGAGGATGCTGCCATGATGGTCACCACCATATGGGAAAAATAAACAAAGGGCACTGTTCTTGCATGCTTACCAAACACGCAGAATGGAATTTGGATGATGGCTCTAGTCCAGATTGTATATTGGCTCTTCCCAATTATTGAAGGCTCTCGTATAGTGCCAGGAACCCTTTTGGGTGGCAACATCAACAAGAGGGCAACAAATTGACAAAAGGCAGCAAAGCACGGCAAACTAGTGCCAAACCAAACAATTTTTGAGTGCGAGCTTTGACGAGCATGCAATGATTAACAAACTTAATATTGACATTACCCAGGAAGGTCTGATAATGTCCCATGTCAAATAATCAAGTATTGTATGACAGTAACATAGGCTTACCTGAGAATATACAGGGCACCGCTATCAGTAGTAGTATATACTTACTGCTTATCAGAAGATGTAGGAAGAGCATCAGTGCCTGCATTACTACCAGAGATGGTTCCAACTTCAACATATTATGTCTCGTAGAAAATGAAAGTAGGAATATTTACTTTCCCTAAAACCCACTTCATTCAAAAGTGACAGTGTTTTGTTTCCATGAAAAGTTAACACAAACAAAACTTATCATCTGCAGTAAGTCCTATATGCTAAGGGACCAAAAAGGCATAAACCACTTACAAAACTGACAATATAACACAAAATGGATCTGTAAATTATAAATAAAAAAGGGAACTGATATTACCTCCAAAACAGAGACAATTTCATAAAATAAAAAACTATAACAGCGCTAAGTGAGTAATGCCTTCTCCAGCGTAACCTGGAAGGATAGCCAGTCAAAAATAATGAAAAAACGTTGGATCTTGCCAGAATGGCATCATATGGAGTTACAATTATGCTATTTAAGTAATTTAGCATCACATATTTGATGAAGGAAAATAAAGTTAGTTGTTGTAGAATTTCTTGTTGGAAGTTGTCCTGCAGAACTTATTAGCAGTGCTCTTCCCTTTCTCCAGCTTTGATGTTTATCGCTTTTGTTCACCAAATTGCTGTCCATCAAAAAACTCACCCAGAGCCTGATCTATATTCTCTGGGGAGTATCTGATATACTTATTTGGGTTCTTCCCATGTTCAACGAGATTTCTGGAAGTCAAAAGAGTTGTAAAGTCATATAACAAAAACAATGGGTCGAAAGAGTTGTAAGGTCATATAACAAAAACAATGGGTTGATGGGCAGAAATTCAGCCAGACATGGAGGAGAAAATATAGATAGGGAGCCATTTTACCACCAAGGTCCTACTCCTATCACAGGTTAATGCACATAAATAAAGATCAGAAATGAAAAGAAAAGGTAGCACAAAGAACAAGAGCCAGTGATGATTGGGCTCTCCCACAAATGGTGGTGTACGCAAAAAATGGGCATATGGCATATGCCCATTTCATTATGAACGGTTAATCTGTAACCGGGTAACTAAATAGTCATATGCCAGGAAAGAAGAAAAAATCTAACCAACATACCCAAAACGTTTGATGAAAGACCGATAGGCTGGCAAGAGAACTTCAGCAACAGCAAGTCTCAGAGATTCTCGCAATTCTTGATCAGGTATAGTCCATTGAGTTTGCTTAGCATGAAGCTCTTCAAATTGCATATTGAAGGACTTAAATCTGGCAAGAGAAGAGCATAAACTTTTGTGACCTTTGTTGTTTGTTACTTATTCAAAACATTGAACAAACATGCTGCTACATTACATACCGCTCTTTGATCATAGCTCTTGAAACTCCGCTGCTACTAAGTTCAGCTGGTGATGAACCAGTAGCTTGAACAGAGAGTGTCTGAAGAATCTGAAATAATTCAAGCAAGATAGTTATAGCACAACAGGATCATCATTCACTGTATTTGACGATTTGCAAGAGAGAACAAAATTCTGAACCATCTAGCCCACAGTAATGCACCGTGCATGCATAAAAGTCCATGTCTACTGGACTTCAGAAATTTACAAATTTTTACTTGTCAAATTAAGTTAAGCGTATGATAGACTATGAAGATAATCAGTTCATTCAAGCTTAACAGAAACCCAAATTCAAGACAATAACCTCTGCAGTTGGCTTCAAGTGCACTTTTAGCTGAGATAAAACCAATTGACCATTTTGATCCGCTATCAGTAAATTGCTATATGCATCATTACTACACTTCAACAACTGCATACAACACCCCAAACAGGTAGAAGACCATAGTTTCTCTGCATGAACCACGCTGACAAACAAAATATAACATCCTAAGAGAATAAAAAGATCAACTATCAGCATCATGGCTTCCCGAAGGATCCAGCCGAGGGTCCAAGCCATAAGCTCAATAGCCCATAATGGATTAATGTGACCATAGCGGTGACTGGGATTGATCAGAGTGAACAGTACTGTAAAACATAAGAAATGCAGTATGTCAGATTACTAGAGATCTCATTGAGGCACTGACCTTTGCCCATGCAACCCTTTTGTACTGGTTGGCATTTTGCTGTACAACCCTACGGTGCCTCTGAATCCAGTCGTCACCGAGTATATCCTTGGCTTCTGATCTGAGGTGACAAAAAATTATTACCTCTGACAATTATATCATGTCTAAACTTCTCAAATTGTTAAAGAACATAGACCGTTTCATAGTTCAGGGCGTAACATTAGACAATTGCAAAAATTCAGGGAGTACAATTTGGAATTTTCCTAAGAATATGTTATGCTTTATGTCCTCAAGAAGAATGTTTCATATAATATTTCCTGGTATACTCTTAAACCACAGAAAATACCTTTGCACATGCTTCCACTTAATTCATTAATGCACTCCTACAGTCCCACTTAAGCATGGTCAGGTATTCACAGTTGGGTGTTGTATCACATACATTGCAACTCAAGAAGAAAACTGACAGCACATAGTGTTAAATTCAAAAGTCTCTAGCCAGCATAAAAAGGACTCGAAATTAACAGGGATAAAGTGGTCATTTTAGACAACGCCTTAATCCTGATGTAATATACTAAACCGACATCTAAGTATGAAGACATGAGGGAGTATTGAACAGGCTTGCTTCCAGGAAAACAACACCTGAAACATAACAAGGAACATACCTGCGGACAGATCTAACCATATAGTGAATGTTGTTCATAAGAAATATATAGGTCAATGCAGGATCCTTATACTGCTTAGATTTCCCATCTAAGTTATTCTGAAGGGCTTGCATTATCTTCATTGTAACAACTGCAAGTTGAGATTCAGTCTCACTGCCAGTTTCAAATTCCTGAAAGAGTATCTTCAGTGTTGACTGATAACTGCTCAAGTCAAACACAAAAGTTTGTCAGTGTGCTGTACACAAAATGAGTTCAGAAATATTTTTATGGCTGTATAAAAAAAATATCAACAATTGAACCTCACTTAAAGAACTAAAACTTGGGGTATATATTGAAACAATGGACCCAGGAGGTTTCTCAAAGGTCTGGATCCAAATCAGCATTTACTAGTATTACAGTACTCAAGCGTGTTAAAAGCATGAGTGTGACTAATCTGTGTTTGGAGGTGGAACAAAAGGGAGTGTTAAGGACAATGCCTGAATAAACTACTACACAGGAAAGAGAATGCATTATTAATTTATCACTGCTCAAAGGAGATGATATATTCAGTATTTGTCTGAGTATAGCTAATACATACTCGAAGATATGTGTTAAAACTATTTGTGATTGCAACTAGTTACTACAGTCACACAAATCTTCTACATGTCCAAGAATGTGGTAATAGTGATACTTACTCAAATAGAAATTTGACATAATTAATAACATAGCTAGTCAAAGGATGGACCGTCCCATCCTGCACAATAGTCTTGGAAGTATCCTTTTCAACTGCCTCCTCAAAATCAGCAAATGTTTCTTGGGCTGTCTGTGCCAAGCGCCTAGTTAAGCCTAATGCAGCCTCCCGCATCTCAGAGCAAAATCTGCCTTCAAAAATTTCTTCAACCTGACAATAAGGTTCAAACGAAGGTAAAAATAGAATTTTTCCAGTCCTCAAAGACTTGACGTTAAAATTGATGACACAACAGTATCAACAATTCCAAATGCTAGCACTACAAGCTTGACTATGCAACTTCCATTTGGTATATAATTACCACACGGCAAAACTAGGATGCAACTGAATATATGAACTTTTCCTTGCAGTTCTGTATAAATTATTTCCAACATACCTCTGGCTGGAGTTCATGCATTACTTCATACATGTCTAGCAATACAAATAATTTTTCAGGTGATCTTTTACTTTTAGCAACAGCATCTCCAAAACTGAGAAGTGTCAATACGCTACTTCCTGCCAGTTCAGCAAAACATTGATCCTTGTTGAAATTAATACCATCAAAAACCTGGTCACAAATTCTCCGTTCTCCAGCAAGTAATAATTTGACCTGATTGAAGCACAATCTGTTAGCCTGGTGTTTGGAAACATATACTAGAACATTGTCAGAAAGATCCTCACCGCAATTCGCATAAACTGGGTCCAGTTTCCAATTTTAGCCTCTAAGGCTTCCCATTGCATTCTTTGCACATCATCCTTACTAAGCTTTTCTACGCCCAGTTTCCGTAAGCTCACTTCTAAAGCCGAACCGCGAGAGTCTCTGAACAGAGAGAACTAATTTGAAGTTGATGTAGATTCTGGTGTTACAAACCACTTCAGACGCCAATCGAAAGTATAAACAAAAATTATGACTTGTCTAGCAATAATCGAAATAACCCCATGTTAAAACAACAAATCAAATCTACCTGTAGATTCTATAGCATGACTGCTGATTTCCAGCCTGAACGAGTTGCTGAGCTATATCATGCAGAAGTGGTAATATTCTTGGGGGCATCAGGGTTGGAGTCCTACATATACCAGTCTCCAAGCCTTTGGATGGATGTTCAGAGTGAGTGTGTCCTCCATCAGCATCATTGTCATCTTTTGGTGCTCGTGGAGGCTTTGGAAGGCAATCAAATAGGCGATCAGGTTCAATAGGTTTGCTGAAAGAACAGGGACAACAGATCATATTTGAAGATTTATCAGAGTAGCAGATGAATTACCATGGGCAGAGGTCTAGGAAACATACGTAGTGCTCCTCTACCATACAACAAGAATCAACATGATGAGGGTTCAGGAATGTAAATTCAACCTGTATGTAGTCATCAGCTGCTTGAATTCCTCCTCAATCTTGAGAGCAGACTTGGACAATATATTGTTGACGCGATTCAGAAGTCCATCGTTGTTCTTAAGGCTCTTGTTCGAGGCGAAGAAGCAAACAATGCTTTTCAGCAGATCCACAGCTTCTAGGTAGCCCTCCAGATCCTCATGGGGGCCCCTCAGTATCGTAGCTTCAGCCTAAAGCACAATAATAATAAAAAAAAAGCATAGACATAAATTCAATGAACAAAAGAAGTCTTGTCTTCAATCTACGCAGAGATAAAGGTAAACAAACAAATATAGTAGCGAAAATCCAATCAAGTTCCAATCTAACAGTACAGACATATCTAAAGTAGCAGCAGCGTCATAAGAAAATTCCGCATCGACCAAACTGTTCATCCTTCCTGCATTCTAATGATTCAGAAGCGATAAAGAAAGGGTTAATTGGATCCATGCCACTATAAATTTCACAGTTTGAAAATATACCATTACTATTCACCTATTTGATGCCATGCCATTACAATTTCACATCTATTGAAAATATACCACTACATACCCTTTTATAGTATTTTCTAACTTTCTATGACCAAATTATCCCTTTCTTCTTCCTCCATCCTCTTCTTTCTTCCCCTTCCTCAACGAACTCTGAAGAGCTTGCATAGTCGGACACGGAAATGGACTGCACGACGAAGTTCAGAGAGGCTAACGGCAGCGGCCGTTCACGTCGACGATGGTGTGCTGGATAGGCTGGCCATTGTGGCATGGATTGCAGGAGCGTCCGCCAATCGTTGGAGGCGTGGGCTGGCAAGGTGCTGTGCCCTATCATCCGGCACAACGTGTACGAACTAGCTTGGATATATACACTCCTATTGCCATGGTTCAGACGACACGCACGGAGGCCAATGCATGTAGTACGTTTCTACATAACATTGCTGAATCGTAGCTAAAATGAGTGCAAACAGGTAACTCTCACATCTGTATGCAATATCCTCCTGCTACACCAGCGGCAGCGCGAGCTGTCAAGCTTATCGGAGTTCGTCAGCTAGCAGAGAGAAGAGAAGAGGAAGGAAGAAGGGAGAAAGAAAGGGGTAATTTGGTCCTTAAAATATAGAAAATGCTATGAAGGGGTATATAGTGGCATATCTCAAATACATGTGAAATTATAATGGTATGGTACTAAATAAGTGAATAGTAATGGTATATTTCTAATCCGTGAAATTTATAATGGCATGGATCCAATTAACCCATAAAGAAACTAGTAGTGATCATGGAAAAATGATGAAGCTCTCAACCAAAAAGGAAAAATGATGAAGCTCTCAACCAAAAGGAAATGAGCTAATCATTGATGTCATCCTTGACAATAAAACCGAAATGTACTTATTCAGTTGATCTGCACTAATATGATAAGAATTTTACTGCATGACCATCATTTCACTAGGGACCATCAATCAAAGGATCATCCAGTAGACGCACATTAGCCACCTCAATACCACAAAACAAACCAATCAAACTCATCTAATCTAGTTGAGTCTCTTTATTTACATTTTCTTTTTTGTTGGATTGATTTGGAAATGGGAATGATGATGATGAGTGCAAAAACCCACCCGGCGGGCAAGGTCGAACTGGGAGAGGATGGCGTCGGCGGCCTTGATCGTCTTGTCGATGTTCTCGTGCGCCATCCGGATCGCGTGCGTCCTCACCTGCATTTGATCCAAACCGCTTTAATTTCGTTCACTCCCCGCACCACGTAGTCGCTCGCCGCCGCCGACGACGACGACGAGCAAATCAAAGCGAACGGGGAATGGGGGGAGGGGAGGCACCTGGGTGGGGCGCATGGCGGCCTCGAGCGCGGAGAGGCGGTGGTCGAAGGACCCGAGGATGGCGACCGTGCTCTCCGTGTTCCCCTGGCTCCTCCCCAGCGCGTCCCGCAGCGTGCTCGCCCGCCGCGCCAGCGCGTCCATCACCCGCGGAAGCTCCGCCACCCCCATCTCCCCACCTCCGCGTGGTACGAGGAGAACCTTCTAGAAGGTTCCGGAAGGAGGATGGAGCAGCGTCGACGGCGAACGTCTCACCGCCCGTGCTCCCGCCGCCGCGGAGAAGGAAGGGAAGAGAGAGAAGGGGGGAGCTTGGAGATTCGTGCGGGCACTGACGCGTGGGGTTTTGCGGTTGGGAGTGGACGGTGAGGATTGGGTGGGGTGTAGGAGAGGGGAGAGGGGAGGTGAGCGGTGGCGGTGGTGGGGTCACAGGATCTGGGTGGGGCCATTGGTTTCCAAGTTTAGTACGCGGCGAGCGAGGAGCGCGGGCCGCGTGGGCCGGGTCCACCGTGCCCTTGATCAATTCATTTCGATTTGGAATAAGTTAACTTTAGGTCCCCCTATTTGTCGGTCAGACCGATGGCCGACGCGTCGTCTAGATGGCTCTTTGACTAGGTCTTTGTCCCACGTGGCATTGACTTGACAATTCTAACCAGAAAAATATTAAACCTCGTGGGACCCACATGTCAGTTTCACATACAAATTAATAAAAATGGTGGGGCCCACGTGGGCCCCACGTGTCATTCTCACCCACCTCTTCTTCCTCCCCTCTCCCATCTCCTCATCTCCCCTCTCTAGCCACGGTCACGGCGCCGCCGGGGACGACGACCTCAAGAAGACTCCACCCGCGCGTCCGCCCGCCGCTGCCCCACTCCGTCCCGTCGGCTTCGCGCCGCCGTCCACCCGTCCGCCCCCTGCTCGGCGCCGCCCCGCCGGCTTCGCGCCGCTGCGCGCCAGAAGACGACGACGAGGAGGCTGTGGCGTCCTCCGCTTGGCTCTGCCGCCCGCCGAGTCGCAGCCGTACATGGACGGGAGTTCGACGCCGCCCGCCGCCGCCGCGGAGGAGGAGGAGGAGGAGACCACGGCGGCCTGCTGTGCCGGCGGGAGAGAGGGAAGAGGAGGCCGGCGAGCCGGTTGCCGCCGAGTCGCAGCCGCACGCGGACGGGAGCTCGACGCCGCGCCCCGGTCCACTCCGATCCACCATCCCCCACCACCCCTCCCCGCTCAAGCTCGTCGGAACCGTCGCCGTGTGCCCCGTTTGCCCAGTGCCCTGTCCCTCTAGTTGAGGTGGCCAGGTAGTGTGCGTAGGCGTCGGCGATGACGTTGCGCAGAGCCTGCACCGCCGCGACCGCCCCGTGGATGCCATAGCTCATCATCATCAAATACCATTGGGTTGCCGGCCGGTGTTGTTGGCCATCTTCTTAGACGTCGCCAAGCTAGCAGACACGGAGGATTCCATGGGAATAATCGTGGCGGTGCACACGGTGAGCGCGAGGAACATGCCGATCAAAGGCCTGCCAAGATACAACAAAAGGAAAAACACACTTGTCAATCGAAGCACACAACCTGCACTATGTCGTCTCTAGCTAATACGGAGTACGTGCTCTGATCGATCGAGTGCTTTCATCTAGAAGATAGTCTCGTTGTCGTCGGCAAAGGCGCTGAGGAGCGACTGCTTGATGGGCCACTCCCTGTGGTAGTAGTCGATGATGAACTCGTTGTGCTTGAGGAAGGCCGGGAGCGCGTCGTTGCTCTGTCCATGGCCGCATCGACGCCGGCGGCAACAACGTCGTCGGTACGGATTGTGGTCGTATTCTCCAATGTCACTGTGGACGAAATCATCTTGGGCCCTGAAAGGAGAGGGAACCCCGCCGCCGCCGCCGAGGAGGAGGAGGAGACCACGGTGGCCGGCTGTGCCGGCGGGTGAGGGGGAAGAAGTGGCCGGCGAGCCGGTTGCCGCCGAGTCGCAACCGCACGCGGACGGGAGCTCCGCCGCCCTGCGCGTCCGCCCCGTCGGCTTCGCGCCGCCGTCCGCCCGCCACCGCCCCCCACTCCGTCCCGCCACTCTGCCACCACGCGAAGCTCCTTCGTCGGCGGCAATGGCTGATAAGGGAGAAGGGTACAGAGAGAAGAAAGAAATCAGTACATACTGACACGTGGGACCCAGTGTGCCCCATCTTTTTTAAATTATTGTTTTTTCTGTAGCTGACATGTGGGCCCGTGTTTTTATTATTTTTCCGAGATATAATTGCCACGTAAGCGCCACGTCAATGCCACGTGGGACGGAGACCTAGTCAAACCAGCCACGTAGGCGCCACATCAGCCAAAACCGCTATCCAAACCGTCTTAGGACCTTATGTGCACTGGATTTCTAAGTTGAGGGGCGCGTTTTATCCGATTTTGCGGTTTAGGGACGAAAATCAGACTGGGCGACAAATAGAGGGACCTAAAGTGAACTTATTCCTTTCGATTTCGTTATGTATTTATCCAAAAGAAAATGTTAAATATAAATATAGTAGTATAATTATAGCGTAGTTATATTGTAACCTTATATAACTTGTATGTAACTTTCACATAATTTTAAACCATTACATTTACTTTGAGATTTGTGTAAATTGAAAATAGAAAATCATAGCGCACGTAACCTCCGTTTTGTGAAAATGGCATGTTACCATAGGATTTTTCAAAAGTTATATATAAATTGTGTTGTAGTTAAATACAAGATTACAATGTAATTCTCTTTTATCTCTTATAAGAGTGATTAATCGAACAATGCCTCAGGTGTATTGAGTAGCTGCAGATCTGTGGGCACCGGAGGAATCGTAGCAACCATCACCACCGTGTTGTTCATCGTGCACTCGCCTCCGTCGCTTGCGAAAGTTGCCACTTGCCAGTTCAGGTGGATGCACCGTGGATCCTTATTCCTTTCCCTGCCTTGCACTCAGCTGAGCTGCTCAATACACACGCCAGCATGCTGCTTAATCATATCAGACATCAAACACTAAAGCTGATCCATCTTAATGTACAATGGGTTTTCTAGAGGAACAAAAATCTGGAGGAACTGAAGAATTATTAAGCCTTTAATGGTAGTAGCAATTAGCAAAGAGCATATATGCTCTCCCACTTTACATCCAAGCTTTGGTGACTAAGCAGCTAGCTCATATTCCGTTTCAGCTTCTTCTTCAAGCTTGGCACATTGTTTCGCATACTTTCCGTTGCTTCATCTCCAGCCTCTCTCTCTGCTTTGCTTGCTTATATATGCAATGCATCAGCTGCACGCAAGAACCGCGGAAATCTCAAAATCAAGCGGAAGCAATGGAGGAGAGGAAGTGGAGATCAACGTCGTCGTGGCCGCCGATGCTGCCGGTGATCATGATGGCCATGGCGATCTTGGCGGTGTCCTTCAACGGCGCCGCCGCCCAGCCGCCGCCGGACACCAACGTGCTGTGCGTCAGCAAGTGCGGGACGTGCCCCACGGTGTGCTCGTCGCCGCCGCCGCCGGCGTCGGGGAACTATAATCCGGTGCTGTCGCCACCGAAGGGCACCGGCAGCGGCAGCGTTGGTGGGTCGTCGTCGTCGCCTTCGGCGCCGTTGGCGAAGGGAGGGCAGCCAGGCGGCAGCAACTACTACTACTTCTTCACCTCCGGCGGCAGCAGCCATGGCTGCGCGGCGGCGCTGCTCCTGCCGCCGCTTGTGTCCCTCGCCGTCGCCGCTCTGTCGCAGTGATCGATCGATCGTGTCCAGTATGATCACAGTAGCTAGCTAGCTATAGCTAGTGGGTTAATTAGCTGCTTGTTTAATTTGCACCTATATATTTTTCTTTTGCTGATCCCGATCGAGTTGTTGATATTTCGTGAATTACTTACTTATTATTACCTGTTTAATACGAAACATGCAGTTTAATTTTCAGATCGAAATGTACTTAACTTTTTTTAAAGAAACTGTCCCTTTGGATTGGAGGATTGGTGAAGGATTTTCGGAGGATTCAATTCCTCTATGATTTTCTCCAATAGATAATCCATTTGATTCATAAGAAAAGGATAGGAAATTTTTTATAAGATTGTATTTATATAGTCAGTTTATAATATATAGAAAAATAAGCACGATATTAGGCTGCTTGGAAACTTTCCTCCACTTCAACTTTTCCTATGGTGGCATTATAGGATATATCTTTCTATTTCTTTTGTTTTCAATTTATTTAGAACTAAACAGCCAAGTTACTTTAATTTGTGAATTTTTTACATTCATGTGATTTTTCGATCCTATACAGTTTAAATGTGCCCTTAGCGTTTCATGTGTGGGTGTCCTGTTGATCGGGTGCTATCGTGTTGATGCGTAGCAGAGGGCTTTGTAACCCTAGGTTCCCAACCCCTCTCCATCGTATTCCGCGCGTACGCTTTTTAAACTGCTAACGATGTGTTTTTTACAAAAAAAATTTATACGAAAGTTACTTAAAATCATATTGATCTATTTCTGAAAAAAAATTACCTAATATTTAATTAATCATGCGCTAATGAACCCTTTTTCATGCGCACTGTGCATGCTGAGAACATATCGTTAGGAACACAGCCCCACATACACGTAAAACGGAACGACCTATTAGTACTAGTTAATTTTTTTAAAAAAAATAGATTAATATGACTTTTTTAAAAAATAACTTCTATATAATTTTGTTAAAACAATGTAACATTTAGTAATTTCGAAAACGTACAGATGGAAAATAATGAAGATGAGTTGGGAAAAATGGCTGCCGAGCACAGGCCGCCTGGGCTGACGGCCCACGGCTGCCCTCAATTAGTAGTACAAGTAGGCCGGGCTGCTTGTGTACGTCGCTCCGCTGGCCCATGGAGTTGTTGTTGCACGGACGACGTGAATGTGATGTGCTGTGTCGGTACAAAATCTGGTAGGGAGCACATGTACATTTGCAGGATCGATCGATCGACAACGTGTGCATATGCACAGCACGCACCAGTGCTAAGCTGCTTCGTGCCTCAACTCGATCTCGACCATATTGCTAGTTCAATTTTGGGGGGCGATGCTATCAGGTAAACCAGGTTTCTCACCGTTGGTAGTCTTGCGCGTTGTTGTGATTTACTACTGCTTGCATTGCTACTCGAGTACAGTAGGAACTATGGCAATTGTCCTTTAAAACGTCGAGAGAGATGCGAATTGTATGCTACTCCATAACACCATTCGTCGCAAAATAAGCTTACTTTTTTTACTTAAAAAATAAACAAATTATTTTTCGCTCATCATCCTTACTTTATCAAATCCCCATACAACTATTCCTTATTTTTTTTCAATTTTCAATACAATCATTCTCAACTTTCGTAAACTTCCGTGCAATGATTACTCAATAAAATTTTTTAGGAACGGATGGAAGAAACTAAAAATAAATTTGTTACTAGGCGTAACGAGTGGTATACTCCTATGTGGGAAAAAAGAGAGAAGAAAGACCTGTAAGGGCAATAGAACACCGTTAGTTACATACTTGTCACGCCCCGAACTAGTCCCGACCGGAACTAGCCCGTGACGCTCCAAATTAACTTGTTAATCGATACCAGTCCCAGGAAACAGTGCTGGTATCACAGGAAGACAGAATATCACAGCAACAGAGGTCTCTTTATTATAGAGTAGGAGTACAGTCATGTTGGGCTGCGGACAGATCCCGAGCTCACAACTGCATTACAAAAGGGAAGCGGAAGCCAAGACTTGGACCAAACATCACAGGCGCGACTTGGGAACTAGGCCGAAACCCTAAAACTCATCGTAGCCGGCTTGCTCCTGGAAGAACTCCTCATCAGCGGGATCCGCTTCATCTTCTTCAGCAACTGGGGGGGATTATTTATATAGAGCAAGGGTGAGTACGGGAGTACTCAGCAAGCCATGGGAAATAAGTGTTTAATGCAGGCTTCAAAGAAAAGGCTGTTGTTTTTGCAATTGATTTTATTTGAACTCTTTTCTGAAACAACTAAGTGAGTGCTTCTCAAATGACACGGATGAGACAGTGCGTCTCGTCCGGTCGGAGTATGTGCAATGTATCAGTCTTTTGAATTGATCAAGGTTGGCACCCGGCCAACAGCTTTCAAACGGCCACCCGGGCCTGGCTGATCCCATCAGCCGCAGATTTTCCAAACATCAAACCCATTCCACAACAGCAAATTTCACAAGGCAGTAGTCAAACAAAACTACGCTAGGAATCACCTCACATCCGCCCATGACCGTGGGCACGGCTGTTCGAACAGTTTGTTAACCTCTGCAGAGGGGGTACACTTTACCCACACGACATTACTAACCCGGATCACCCAGCCCGTGGGGATCAGCCACGTCGGGAGACCTCCAAGCTTTCATGACAAGGCATTTCTAAAGCCGACACAGGTTTACCATATGCCGACGAGAGGGGTCCCAGACCAACAACAGGTTAGGTCCCAGACCATACTGTGCCAGGAAGCCCAGGGGTCCTTCCCGACACCACCCCGGCGAATCCACATGTCTCTCGGCATCAAGGCTCCCCTGATAAGCTAGTTACTCAGCCAGGGGTGTCCCATTCCACCCATGTGGTCGTACTTGTCTTATGTTCGGATGAAATTCCAAGGAAACGGTCCTTAAGTGCAAGAGCGGGAAACCGTACACCCGGTACGTTCCCCGGTCCGCGGTTTTGGAAATTCATTTAGTTCGCAAGCACCGACCCAGGTGTCGGGTTTTCCAAGTCTTTTGTAAAACCCAAGTTTTACCCAAGTTGTTTTTTTTCAGATTTTAAGTTTGAAGGCGACCGTCGATACTCGTGCAGAGTGCACGATTTCCGAGGCGCGACTGGGTGGTTACAAGGGAACATGGTATAACAATTAACAAAGGAAGGATCAGATGCAACAAATTAGGTAGGTCCGCCAATCTGCCTTGCAGACGGGACAAGCAAATTAAGTGCGATCCTATCAATGCATAATATTTTTCAAGCAACATAATTAAGTTCAAATATAGGCTCAAGATGTTCAAAGGTGACTTGCCTCGCTCGAGATCTTGAGCTTGATCCTCGAAATCCTCGCACTGCGGGTCTTCGGGCTCCGAAACTACACGCAAAACGGGACAACTCAACAAACGGCGAAAATAAAACCCTATTAATGACCTCTAAGCATGCCATTAGATAGATCTTGAGATTTGAGGAATTTTGGATGTTGAACGGAGTCAAACGGATTTACGGTTGGGAAGATATTGAATTTCTAAGATTATTGGATTTTTGGTCTAAAGGAAAAGGATTTATTTAAATCCTTTTTAAAAAAGAAAAGAAAAGAAAAGAAGGAGGGGGAAAATTAGACTTCCCTCGGGCGGCGAGGGCGCGGCCCGAGAGAAAAGAGGCGGCTCGGCCGAGCTAAATGGGCCGGCCGGCCCAAAAGGCGGCCCAAAGCGCGCGCGCGGGCGGGGAGGGGAGAGAGAGCCGGTGGGCCGGGTCCATCCCGCGTGGTCCCGGGTGGGACCCGCTTGTCGGCGACTCGGCTCACCATGCGGAGCGAGCACGCGGCGCGCGCTAGGGTTCGGGGAGGGAGACGCGGTGCACGCGCGCGGTTCGCGGAGGACGCAGATGCGGCGGGCCCACGCGCAGCCTCACGGCTCACCGCGGACCATGCGCACGGGGGGGAAGACGGAGGGGGCGGCTGGCCGGGTCAGCCGATCCGGTCGCGGCCGAGGTGGCGCCGACGTGGCGCCTACGTGGCAGCCACGCGGGCCGGCGGGAGGTAGACGACGACGCCGGCCGGAACGGACGGCGGACGACAGCGGCGAGCGGCGGAGCGAACCACGGCGATACAGGCGAAAGCGAGCACACCGGGTGGTTGCACGAGACGAGGGGAGACGAGCCAACAGCTCGGATTCACCGGAGGGAGTGCGTCGGCGGCGGATTGTGGCGGCGGCAACCGGCGGGGAGGGAAGAGGGAAACGGCGACGAGGTCATGAGGGGCCGATTCCCGGCGGCGAGAGCATCTACGCGGCTACGGGAATCCATCCCTTGCGCCGGATTAGGAGGAAACGCATCGAGGGAGGCCGGCGACGAGAGGCGCTTCCGAGCTCGGGCGGCGACGGCGGCGAGCACACGGCGAGCGACGGCAGCAGTCGGGGTGGCGCCGGCTAGCTATGGAGAGGCTACTCGAGCTACTACCCGAGTCTAAGGGGAGGAGATGGAACGAGGAGGGAGAACGGGGAGATGCGCTACCGTGCGGGACGGGGCGCAGTGACGATGGGCTGACGGCACGGGAGTGATCTCTCCAGCCTCGGGCCGGGGAAGAGGAAGAAGAGGGCGCGCCCGGAGTCCCCTTCAGCGTCCTTGCTCGTGCCGGCTCCTCCGACACGCGCGACGGCGAATGGCGGCAGCGAACAGAGCACGGGAGGCGGCGACAATGGAGTGGAGGCGAGAGACGAAAACGAGGGAGATTGGAGGAGGGAGGAGCTTGGGTTTATAGGGGCGACAATGTCGGTTTGGGAAAGGGGAACCGACATTGGACGGTCAAGCCGGCGAGCTGGCGCCCGGCTAGCGGCCAACACGACGACAGGAGGTGACGCCGGCGAGAAGGAAAAGGGGGAAAAGGAAGGAAGAAAGGGAGCTTGTCCCTTGCCACTTTGGGAAAAGGAGGAGGGAGCGGGGGCGACGCGGCAGAGGGAGGAGGGGCTCTGCCTCCGTCCCTTGGAAGCTAGCGCGCGGAGTGGCGGGGTCGGGTTGATGACGACGGTGATGACGGCGGGGCGGTTTGGAGCGGGGCGACGACACGGGCGGCAGGCGCGGGCAGGCGCGGCAGAGGCTGACGGCGGCGGCGACCAGGCGGTCGGCCACCACGGCACGCGCGCGCGGGAAGCAACGGGCGGCGCGGCGATTTGAGCGGCGTGGCTTGGGCACGCGTGCTGGCTCGCGGGGCCGAGCGGCTGCGCGGCAGGGC